GTGCTGGCTCCACGTGTTGGTAGTTCCACACAAGGTTAGAAGTCAAGGCTTCTCCAAAGGAATCCTGGGAATTTTGCTCTGCTGAGAAACTGTGTTTGTGGCTCCCGAGCTTCTTGGAGACCTGTAATTTGCAGGGACCCGCTAAACAGTGGGGATTCAATTCTGTCCTGTAGCTCTGCTGACAATCCCCCTTTTAAGAACAGCCTCTCTTCTTTCCTCCTTCACTGAAGAGCGGCAGATCACGTGGCTGGCAACTAGCACTTACCGATGACTCTATGCCAGTGGGCAGGGGATACACTTTGTTTTCATTAGACGCTCTCCCAGTGAAGGGACAGAGAGGGGAACAGCATGTGCCTTTCCACACAGCTCATATTTCAGCTGCTGCCTCCAGCCATACGATTCTACCCCCATAAACACACACACCCCTTCTCTTGGTTCATTTCATTCCACAGCATCATCTTCTGTGCTCATACAGGGGGTTCTGGCAACACACAATCACTGGCCAACCCTTTGTGTGGAACAGTGAAAAGAATCAGTCTTTCTCATGCTGGAGAAAAAATTGTGCTCCAATTTAAGAGAGGCTGTCAGAACTTTACAGGATGCATGCATGGCTGTCCGGCAGGCCGCAGGGAGAGGACTTCAGACCTCATGCATGGCAGTACCCTGGGTCATCTCTCCTACACAAACAAACCCCAAACATTAATAGGATATAACATGGGGGAAAGCAGAAACGAAAATGGCATAACTAGCAGAAAGGACGGGCATCTCATTTTAGAGTTCTGAACATGCTCACAGCTGCTTGTCTAGATTCCTAGTGTGGAAACTATCTTATTTCCCAATTTTTGAGAAATAATTTTATAACTTCTTTCCAGTAACTCTTCATCAATTTGCCTCACTCTCCTACTGTTATATTGTGGGTCTTAGCATGGCTTTCACTATCAGCTGAAAGAAATGAGCTTTAGGCTTAGAGCAGATATATTTTCTTCCACACTTGACAGTGCAACCAATCTGGAGTAGGGGCTTTCCTCTCCCTGGCTGTTCCCTCTCCGGAAGATTTAGACAAAACCTGAGTGGCGCAGTTTGTTATTAGAGCTTTACAAGTTACAAAACAGCATAAATCAAAGTCAGGCTTTCTTTGAGATGTGGGAGAATTCTGTGGGAAGAGGTGAATCTTCCCTGAAGCTCCCATTGCTGGTAGAAAACCTCTCGGGAATGAACAGGAGAAGTGGGGCAGCCCCCAGCAAGGCAATCCTGTGCTTATAATTGCACTGTTGGCCTGTTTTTAATGTTGTTAGCTGCTCAGAGAGCCCTTCGAGGCCTATTCAGCAGCCTATAAATTTGAAAATGAATGAATGAACGAACCCATCAAGAATGTCTCACTGAAACTGTGTCCTGTGCAAAATTCTCACAGGATTTTACCCCAGGCAAAGTTCCACCAGGCAGCCTTGCATGGCACACTGCAAGGTGATTTTGCCCAATTAATAAGTGCACTTGGAAGTTACAAATATTATTTATTCATGATGCTGTTCCTTACCGAACAGTGCGTTCGAAGTCCAAAAATTGGAGAGGCGATTTGAATGCGTTTGTCTGTGTGCAGAATTCCACTGTGTGGAATCTCTATGCTGGAGATGAAACATAATATTGCTTTTCTGGCCCATATTTCCACAGCTGAACAAAAAATACAAGGTTTGCTTTAAAGAAACCAGCGGAGTGTCAAGGGGAGTGCAATGACTCATTCTCACAACCAATTTTGAGGGTTGCCCATTTATTTAATTTATTTATTCACCCATCCGTTTCATTGCATATCTCACCTTTCTATCAAAACTGACACACGGAGAGGTGTATGCACGCACATTAAAATGCAAAAGTACAGCATTAAAAAAACCTCCAAACCAACAGCCACACTTACAGGCCAAAGGGCAACTTGAATGGGTGGAAGGACAACCAAGAGAGATCCACTGGCTCCGTTGCCAAATCCTGAATCCAGCTTGCCCACTTCCATCTGGTGTATTGGCTGCATCCCAGTTCCATGGCCAAAGCATAAATGCTGTTTGGTTTCTTTTCCAATCTCTGCTCTGCTTCTTTGTCAACCGATTCCAAGAAAAGAGGTGCAAAATTGATAAAGGAGCCAGAAGGAAACCCCTGTGGTGAAAGCCTGGAGAAGTGGCTTGTAGTTGGATCCTAGGGAATTCTGTGGCATTTTGGAAGCTTATTGGATATCTCCGGCTCACTGGTAAAGCCATGCTTCATACACAGAAATTCTCAGGTATAGTCCTGGGAATCAGGAATCTCCACTTAAAACACACAAACAGCTATGCTGTTCACGCAGTAGCCAAAAGGATAGATTAGGCAGGCAGGCAGGCAGGCAGACAGACAGACAGACACCCTCCCAAACAGGAAGTCCAGAAGCAGCGCATGAATGGAATAACACCCTCTGGCCAGGCAGCTGTTATACAGATGCAGGGTGCCTCTGATGGGGTGGGGGGCCATAGACGGCTTTCGCGGCCAGCAGCCATTGACAGTCTTATTTTCCACCAATATGATTAGTTCCCTTTAAGACCAGGACTGCAGGTGGCGCAGTGGTTTAAACCGCTGAGCTGCTGGGCTGGTTGATCGAAAGGTCGCCGGTTCGAATCTGCACAATGGGGTGAGCTCCCGTTGCTCCGTCCCAGCTCCTGCCAACCTTGCCGTTCGAAAGCAGGCAAATGCACGTAGATGAAAAGGTGCCACTTCGGTGGGCAGGTAACAGCGTTCCGTGCACCTCGGTGTTTAGTCATGCCGGCCCCATGACCACGGAGACTGTCTGCGGACAAAAGCTGGCTCCCTCGGCTAGGAAACGGAGATGAGCACTGCCCCCTGGAGTCAGGCATGACTGGGCTTTAATGTCATGGGGAAACCTTTAAGACAACCAAGTCAGTGGTGGTCACTCCTGTGCAAACATGCACCCTGAGAAGAACTACTTCCTAAATTTCCAACTGTTCAGCTTTCCCAGATGACCCCAGCTTCTGTTATCATGTGAGAGGGAGAAAACCAATCCGCACTTCCACTTTCTCTGCCCCATGTGTCTTGTCTACCCTTACCCCTATTTCCAGGCGAAGAAATGTGTCACAAAGGTTGCAATGTTTCCCCACAGGGGACTTGCTGTAGCACCTGAATTACTTCAGTTACCCTTTTCTGCACCATTCTTAGCCCTGTGATATTATTTTGAGGCAGTATCAGGACTATATTTAGTGTTTGAGTGTGGCTGCAACATAGTTTTGTACAACAGCAATATAATATCAGTTCTATTTTTAATCCCTTCCATTATCATCATCACCATTAATTACATTTCTATGTCACCCCACAGCTGAAGCTCTCTAACGATGCCCAGCTTGCAGTTTACCTTTCTCACAGTAGCCTAACACAGAGTTGATCTTTTAATTGAGCTATCTGCAACTCCAGGATCCTTTTTCCTAATCAGGGATAGAATACTGATCAAATCTGCGCACCTCCCCCACCAGCATTTATGCAAAATTAAGATTTTCTTCCCAATGTGCATCACTTCAGACTTGTTTCCTCTGAACTGCATGTGCCATTTTAATTAGCATTCCCCCACTTGGAGGAATTTTATGCTATGAACTTTGTTTTGTTTAACTATGATAAATAATCAGAAAGATACTTGGGCATTACTTGGGATTATCTGCAGCAGCAACGCCCCTCTGGTCATTGACATGATCAAGAAACATAATTCTGTGGGACAGGAATGCTGGACTGGGTGGACCAGGACTGCTCTTTCAAAAAATAATAATAAGTTTTATTTGACATTATAATCCTAAAAAACAAAGAAAAACTAAAAACAACACCAATCATCAAAACTGTCGGGCCCGCTGGGTCAGCCCCCACACCCTTCTTTTTCCATTTATGATAACTTAAAAACATATTTAAATCTATGTGAAGTCCCGTTTCTCTAGCCAACAATAAAAAGAGTCCCAAGTTTGATAGAAGTCAGTATCTTCCTTCTCCTTCAATGATAAAGTCAATCTATCCATTTCTGCACAGTCCAGGATCTTTTTTAGAATCAGTTCGTCGGTGGGTAGTTCCTCACTTTTCCAGTGCTGAGCAAAGGACGGCTCTTTTTATGTATTACAACAATAACTCGTTGGAATGCTTCCCTGATTTAGCTCCCTGTCTCAAGGTTGCTGGGAGCACTTCAGCCATGAAGACAGCAGTGCAGTCCCCAGTTCCAAATAGTCTTGGGGCCTTGTATATTCACCCAGTTCTGCCCCTTTTCAGATTTCTGGGTTGCATGGACAATTGCGTAGTTTGTGGGCATATTTCTACTCTGCCCACATTTGAGCAACTGAAAACATGTTCTCCTTCATCACCTGGGGAGGCAGCAGAAGCCACCCATATCCTGGCAGCATCTCCCAAGGAAGTCACTTCAAAGCTGCCCTGCCAGTCATGGGAAACAGCTCTCCCCCTGGAGTGCCGTCACCATGCAAAGCAGACAACTGGGCCGAGGGTCGAACCCAGCAGAAGCTCGCTTCTGAATTCCTGCCAGCAATTCTTCCACGAGGTCCTGAAAGGTAGACGGGCTTCCCTGGAAGACAGGTTGGCAAGCACGACCAGTTTCCCCGACAAGCCTGACCTGGCAATGGAGTGCGCATCCTAGAAGACTCTTCAGAGCCTTCAGCAAGGTCCAAGGGTTGGGGATTCCTTGGTGGCTGCAGAAAATGTAAAAATCACCGTCCCCCGGAATGCAAGCTGCTTCTGTTGCATTTGTCACGCTGGCTTTGAAAGTGTCAGGTGGCAACGGAGCCTCCGCCTCCGGCGACACGATTGTGCCAAGGCGGTAGAATTCCTTCTGGGGCTCATTGAGGTTATTTCTCAAAGGGCGCATGGCTTGGATCTTTGCTGATTCCTTTGTACAATCAGGCTTGTGGTTTCCAGGGGCACATTAGCTTTGATTGCCGATTGTTTTCATTAAATAAAATGTTAATTCTGTTGTTGTTTGATTCCAGATGAGTTTAGAGAATGACGACAAGCGAGCACGGACGCGATCAAAGGCAATCAGAGGTGAGAAATTTCCCCATGTGGAATTATGCGCACAGGCAGTTAAACTGAGCAATGTGGCTCTCCGTGGTTCATCTAAGTGGACGTGTCCCCGAGGCCCAGAATCTGGAGTGTGCGCGCACACGCGTGTGGTTAAATGCTGCAAACACGCACCATTCACATGTTTTCCCGGGAGTTCTCTTTACAGAGTGACTCACTTGGCCACTCAAGCCAGCAACAAAACATTTCCCAGTCCTCATTCTGAGTCTTCCCTCCTCCCCTTTCCCTTCTTTAAAAAGCGGCAGCTTCATAGAAATCTTGATAGCTTCAGATCACTTTTATCGCATGTGCTCGGCCCGAGGCTTTGAAGTCATACATCTGAGAGCGCTAGACAGACGCTGTGCATGTGGCAGAAGCAAACAAGCTTGTCTTGCGGTGGGGGCTTGAAGACAAATGACTTGTTAATTCAAAGCCTGATTGCTGTTTATTTTCTGGCTTTGAAAGCAAAATGCCGCCATGCATTTCACCTGGCAGAAGGAAGGAAGTCTGACATCTAAAATTGGGCGCCAGATCATCGCCTTGAACAAAAACAGCACAACTCTCAACATCTAAAGTACAAATGAGGATTATGAAGTTTAATTTCGCAGTTCTGAGTGGACTGGGTGGGTGCATCTGATTGCAGGACGATATGCTCGGGGGCTGGCTAGAAGATTTATGCCCCAGCCAGCTACAACCATGCTTTTTACCTGTCCGGTTCTACATGCAAAGGTTCTTAAAATCTGACATGAACATGTAACACTTTTTAAAACTAGATTTCTTTGAAATTTCACTGCTGCTTTACAATGAGTCCTCACTTAGGCCTTCATTAAGTCTTATGCTAATGTGTGCTCTCCAGGTTTGGAGGAAAAGCTTGGCCTTTCTGCTGATGAAAGACTGGCTTTTTAGCTAAGTTTGGGGAAAGGTTTGGAAGAGGACTGAGAAATAATCTGCAGGATCCATCCCACCCACCAGGCATACTTCAGAAGCGCCCCCGTAGCGTGCACAGAAGGGGGATCCCCAGGAATGTCCGTGAAGCCCCAGGCCTTGGCTGGATGCACGGATCTTGTCCATGCCCTGCGATACACCAGCTGCCTGCCCTTGCAGCCTTGGGAGCCCGCAGGGCCAGAGAACCTCACCACGGGAATGCCAATGCGCACGCAGCTGCGAGCCGGTTGGAGGGGGCTCATGAATCGCACACACACATGGTGGGAGGGGATGGATTGCCCTGCCCCTGGAGTTGCGGCAGGGAGAACGTTTGGAGAATACATACCCTCCCTTTGTGCAGCTCCTGGATGTATGGCATGCCAGTGAGGTGCAGCACACCCTCCACTGAGCAATAATGCAAAATTGGCACAGTCGCGGAGCAAAACCATGCAGCTTTTCTTCCAGAGTGTTCCCAGGTTCGTGTACATAGGACTGCAGCTTTAGAAATAAAGAGCAGTGCAGCCTGTCTCTGAAGGGGCATCTATATTATGCCAGGACATCCCATAATGTGGCAGCCATCTTGCTGAAGCTAAGCAGCTCAGGGCTGGGCAGTGCCTGGATGAGAGACCTTCTGGGAAATTTATGTGCCACCTTGAGTTTCATGATGGGAGAAGGATGGCATATAAATCTACCTTTTACATCCAAAGATGGACGGAAGGTATTTTGCGATCCATTGGAGAACCTCTGGTCGTATGCAAAGCTAAAATGTAGGGTCACTTGTTAGAAATTTGTTGCTAAGAAAGCCAAAATGTGCCTTTCCCTTTATCAGCAGACACATAGGATTCTGCTAGAAAAAGATGTAGACCCCACAAGACAGACATCACCTTATGTTTCATAGAATCATAGAATAGTAGAGTTGGAAGGGGCCAAGAAGACCATCAGGTCCAAGCCCCTGCTGTTGCAGGACACCGATGTACACCCTCCCCCTCAGATGACTGTCCATATCAGTGTGGACAGTGTGGTGTAGTGGTTAAGAGCATTGGGACTGGGACTCAGAGGATCTGGGTTCTAGTCCCCGCTCAGCCATGGAGCCAACTGGGTGGACTTTGAGCCAGTCACAGACTCTCAGCCCAACCTACCTCACAGGGTTGTTGTTGTGGGGATAAAATGGAGGAGGAGAGATGATGTCAGCTGCCTTGAGCCCTTTGCAGGAAAAAGGCAGGATATAAATCACAATATAAACAAACAAACAAACAAATATATCGTAGAATTCTCTTTCGGTGCTCTTTTCTCCCAACAGGACACTGGGGTCGGGAAACAAAAGCACAGCCTTCCCTTGGAAGCAGAGCAAACAAAAATAGGAATTAGGTGCCTTGATTCCATCCAAGTTAAGCAACTGGGGCAGTTTCCAATGCAGTTCTTTGGTCCGTTCTGATGTGCAAGGGTACGCAATGCCTAGAAAATCTGCAATTATGCTTACCGCTGTGACAGGTTTTCCCAGAAAACCCATCATTCTAGCAAGAAGTACTAAAGCAGTGATACAGGTAATTTACACCAGGGCAACATACCACCAGGAGTAACACCTGGGCATTACTGCCCAGGAATTGCAATGGTAAAATAAGCATGCGCTTAAAGCACCTTGAGATTTTAGTTGGCTCAACGTGAGAAAATGCGATCGACATTCAGGGAGTGCAAAAAAGCAAGCTGCATGAACAAAACCAATTCAGTCGGCACAACCTAGAAAAGCAAGTTGCTAAGTGTACTTTGAAATCTCATAATACATAATATATTTGCCTGTCATATGTAATCTCTGTTTTCTAGCCCATTACTTGTCTTTTGGTCTTGAAACGCTCCGCCAGCAAAATTTTCTGCCACTGTAAAGTAGCTAAGACCAGCAGCGGGCCTTGGAGGTGCAGTTACGTAGCTCCCGGGATGTGGCTGCCCAATTTTGCACAATACCAAGCGGGCACCAAAGTCCGTGCCAAGCTTTCCCCTCCCCTGTAGTGTGCAGGGCCACTTTTCCTGCCTGCCACCAACAGCAGCCAGGGTTACGGGGCATGCGTGACATGCAATCAGTGGCTTGCAGTGTCACTGGGGTTAAAAGAGGGCTCAGAAAGAGTCTTTGCATATACCAGGGGTGGGGAACTTTGTGCAACCAGAATTCCAGATATAATTTCAGAGTGGTCTTCAAGGCCTGCATTCCAGCAGTGGGCATGGAGCCAAAGGCTAGAAGGGTAGAGACAAAAATGCAAAACACGGTACCAGCGTTTTGTAGAAGTTCGTAGCGTCAGACATTATCCTTTGGGAGAGGAACGTTTACCTTTTAGGATGGAGGAAACTGCATGATGGCTGGAAAAACCCCACTGGGAGAAAGGGATGGGCAAAGGGAAGGGGGAGTAATCTTTCTGGGAAACCTGGAGGGCCGGATCAGAACCCCATGAGGGCCAGATTTGCCCCTCTGACCACAGGTTCCCCACCACTGGCATATGCGGCCCAAGTAAATCGAGGTCCCATTCCTGGAACCTCCAGTAAAATAGATCGCTGCCCTGCTGAGCAGAAATATCCCTGCCTGCAGCTTCAGAAAGTGGTAGAAAAGTGGTTGTGAACCCTGCTGGTCCATAAGAGGGCTATCTCCCTTCATCCAGACCTACCAGAAGGCCAAAACATCTTCAGCAAGGTTGGGAGTTCTCCAGACCTGTTCTCTGGGGGAGATGTGAAACCAGCGGGTGAAGGGGAGAGAACGAGAGAGCACGGCCCTAACATCTCCAGGTCTGCCGTCGAGGCCGCTCTCAGCTGCACTGGCGGGAGGACTGTGCCGAATTTCATTATCTGAGCCTCTGGCAGGCACTAAATAGATCCCAACTTACATCAAAGGTGGATGAAGGGTCTGAACCCAGCAAAGGGTAGTTCCCTATGGGGTGCAGTTTTAAGCAGCAGCCCCATGGCAATGCTTACGAACCACCAGAAAGGAGGCCTCTCATTTTACTCACGGTCTTGTCTTGTTTCTGTTTTGTTTTTTCCCTTTTCTCCTCCATCACATTATGCCTCAGTACCGACAGAACTCATCGGCCAGGAGGTGAGGTAAGGAAAAAATCCTCAGCTCCCTGGGGCTTCACCTGTATATCTGTTCCTTGCTTGCTATCTTGCCACCTGACGATTCAGCTAAGATTATGAACCGCTCCGATTGAGAATTAGTGCCTCTGAAGGTGGAATCCTATGCATGTTTAAGCAGAAAAAAGCCTAATAGCTCCCACCCTTTTTCAGCCAGCTTCCTCAACTCACATAGGATTGGGCTTTGAAGTGATATGAACTCCAACTTAAAAAAAAAAAAAGCTCAAACTATCAGGATAAGAGGGGGGTCATGATTGGGGCCAAGCTGACCTTGAACCCCCATGCAAAAAAAGAGAGGGCACCAAAAATATACAATGTGACTTTAAACAAATTTTTGCTGTCTGTGTTCCTGTGTACCCATTGACCATTCAAGTGCACCTTCCAAACCTGAGCAGGCTGAAGTTCTGGTGATGTCAGCTGAGCGGTTTCATGAAGTCAGTGGAGAATGTGCGGAATTGTGCCATTATCAGAAGCAATAAGAAAAGCAAGGGAACACCCTCAGGGCCACCAACGGTGCCCGGAGACGATCGGACCATTCAGAGTCCCAGCTCTGAGGTCCTACGCCATCGGAGAGCTGCTTGCACCCCCTGAGGAAAGGACACACCCGTCGCCTCTCCAAGCCTGAAACGTGGTTTCAAAGAGAAGGAATGGTGGTGTGTTGAGTGGGAGGGCAGGGGGAGGTTGGGACCAAGGGGATACAGACCCCCCCCCATCTCTTTTCCTCCTGTCGCCTGCCACTTCATTGAGGAGGCCGGAAATGACTCTCTCGATGAAATGCAGGTTGGGAGGCAGAGAAAGATGTTGGAGGTGAGAAAGATCATGCTCCTCGCCTCTGGATGCACGTAAGCCCCAGAGGTCTGAGGCTCTTGTGCATTGCAGGCAGGAAGCCAGAGATGGCACCCTGGAAGGGCCATGTCTGGGCTCTTGAACCAAAACCAGTGGAAATGTGTGGAGTCAAAAGGAGGATTTCTACTGAGCGTGCATCATGCGGAACTGGCATACTGAGAGGTGTGGAGCTGGGGGACCGTCGCCTGTTCCGCCGGCCATCTCTGCTGCACGGGGGAGCAAGGGGCGTGTCCGTGGCGAGGCGCCAAAGCCCTTGTTGAAGGGCGGCAGCTCCAGGCACGGTGGCAGCACCCGCTTTGCATGCAGGAGGCCCTGGTTGAACCCCTGGTAGCATTTCCAGGCAGAACTGCCTGAAGCCTTGGGGAGCCGTCACTGCCGGTCAGTGTCGGCACTACTGGCCTCCGTGAAGAAGGGCCATGCAGTGTAAGTCCATGCACAATGTCGTTAAGAGGCCCAGCTAGGGAGGCAGAACCAGCCCCGGAGATTGCAAACTGGGCAGGAGGAAAGAACAACAGTTGGCTTGAGCTTCCATGTAGCCTGATATGCCTGATCCTGCCTCACCTTGGAAGCTAAGCAGGGTTGGGCTGGGTTGAAAACTGGATGGGGGACTTGAGTCCTGCGCTGCGCAGGGGCCTGGACCTGATGGCCTGCTAGGCCACCTGTTTGATTCAGACCTGGGCACTTTCAGTGAAAAGGATCAGGTGGCAATGATGGAGAAGGCCCTGGAGATAAACTGTCAGTCAGAGTGGCCACCTTGGAGGTCCTTGCAAGGGGAAAAAGCCAGGCTATAAATGCATTGTGGTGAGTGAGTGCAGGCATAAAAACCAGCAGCAACATGATTTAAATGAATGCATAATAACAAAAAAGCACTTTTTATCAGCCTGGTTGTGAATGTGACCGGTTGGTAAAGATCAGTGAAGATGAAAGAGAAATCCCTAATTTTCCTCAGGTTCTGCCTCCCTCTGAAACCCTCCATGCATAAAGATTTCATTTAGAATGCGAGAAAGCTCCAGCGCCACCCAAAGCAGGCTGGGGCAGACGAAAGCTCCAAAGTCCTGACGCCCCCCAGGCGAATGCTGTCACACCCCCCCCCCCCCACCACCACCTTGCCCCCGCTTGGCTGTCATCTCTCTCTCTCAGCATCTCAGTTTTTTATTCAAGATTTTGTGGGCATTTGGCACGCTTTAAGCTGCCCTCATGAGGAGACGCTGAGGAAGCGCTTGAATCATTCAGAACTCAAGAGCATTGTAAACCACAGGCTCACAAAACCACGGAGCCCTCTTAGAGAGATGCCCAGGGGCTGAAGTTAAAGGGAGTAAAATGGTGCCATTTGGGGCGGCTGGGAGCCGTTGCCGCTCCCCTCCCCAGCAGCACCGCACAGCCAGGGTTCCTTGGGCCTCCCGGCTCCCTCAGGTGTTCTGCTCCGAGGACCTGCTGTTTCTCCCAGGTACCAGCCTAGGGAGCATCAAACACATCACTTGCCTAAATTTTATGGCTGAACACATGAGCGGAGGGGGTAATTGAAGCCGGCGACATATTTAAGGGGCAGGTCAGAGGGCTGCACTCAGCCACTGCTGCAGCTGTGTGCTAATTGCCTGATTAACTGGACGATTAATCGACTAATTGAAGCCGAGGTGGTGCCTGCTTGGCAAAGGGAAAGGAAGCTGCAGCAACAGAAATTAGTGCTGTGACACGAAGCAGGCGAGCCAGTGGGGTGGCAGCTATGAATGTTGTGAGGAGGAGGAGGAGGAGGAGGAGGAGGAGGCAGGGTGTGCCATTTTTGGATGCTCCCCAGTTATGGACAGAATGGAACCCCTCCCCCCTCCAATTCAGGCACTCTGAGCCTGAATCAGGCAAATGCAGGGGAAGGAGCCCTCCCCACAGCCATCGCCTTCATGGCCTTCATCACTCATGGAGGGGGACTTGCTGAAGCGGGGAGGTTCTGGCGTCTGTGGAGACCCTACAGATGGAAAATCAGTGCTCTGGCCCTCACAGATGCATTCCTTGCATGTTTAGGGGGGACTACACCACTCATCATTCCTTGCTGGCTGGAGGATGCTGGAAGTTGTAGGCCTGTTTTCTCTCTACTCAAGCCTCGGATTGTGCCTTAAAGGACTTCTAAATTTGTGGCTTGACAGCTTCCACTAGAGGAATGGGAGCTTCGTTTTAGAGCAGACCCATTTCCGGTTTTTGAAAGTAAATAATTCCCCTTGGATCAGGGTGCAGTTTTTCGATATTGCCATCTCCCTTATTAAGTTTAGGTGATCCTGGAAAAATTTTCCATGATGACTTTGAGTAAGGCAGATTAAGAGAGATTATTCCAAGTGTGATCCTTTACATGCCTACTCAGAACTAAGCCCCATTGGATTCAGTGGGGCTCCTCTCAGGTAGATAAGCAAATGATTGCTGCCTGAGGAGACATTTTAAGGAAGGTGTTTATTAAGAAAGCTTCTGAACAAAAATGATTTTTCCTGCTTAGAGCCAATTTTGATGTTGCTTTTATTGCCTGCTTTTCAACCTTAATGTTCTCAAATGGTATATGAGGATCATGCAGTGTGTTTTCATCAGAACCACCAAGGGCTTCCAGATGGGAGGTTTAACCCTTCCTTCCCCAGCCATGAAAAACTCTCCTCTTGCTACAGTCTTAGGTAACGATGGTTTCGGGGGGAGCTTTCTTCCCTCGTGCTCATTGGCACGGGGAGGTGCCAGTTTCACTGGAGTTGTCTTCGTGGGAAAAGGAACAAAGGGTCCGTAGTGGCTGAGGATGTGCTGAAACTGGGCAGCCCCGCTAACAGTGAAGACTGCCGTCATCCTTTCTCAGTCCCCACTCGGGCTGACTGTGGGCGCACCATGATTGCCTTGTTAGCCAAATTGATGCATGAAGCCTGAAGAGCTCGTTAACTTCTTCCATCTCAGTAAGACCCCAAAATTAGATTGTGCCAGACTTGGCATCCGTGTGTGCCTTCCTTGGCTGCCCCACCCTGGAGACAGCTGCCCTGAGAGCCCCTTTCCCTGAGTGCTGGGTGGTTGTGGTCAGGAACTGCCACTGAAATCCCCAGCTAGGCCTACATTGCAGATTAGGTCCAAGGCACTGTGGGAATTTAACCCTGGGGAGGCCAACCAGGGTTGTTCTTCGCCAAGGCCCTGCTCAAACTGCAAACCAGGGGGTCAGCTTAAGAGAAAGAGTCTTGCTTTCTCCACCAGGATGTTAATGGGGACCAGACAGTTTTACATATAACAACGCCAGTCCTCTATCGGTTACACTGGCTACCAATTGAAGTCCAGGCCCAACTTAAGGTGCTGGTGATGACCTATAAAGCCCTAAACGGCTTGGGTCTGGGATACCTGAAGGAGCGCCTTCTTCCCTATGTGCCCTCCTGCCCCTTGAGATCTGAGGCGGAGGTCCTGCTCTGGGAGCCCTCCTTGAAGGAGATCAGGAGGGAGAGTACCCGGAGGAGGGCCTTCTCTGCGGTGGCGCCCCGATCGTGGAACACGCTCCCCAGAGAGGTTAGCCTGGTGCCGACATTGCATTCTTTTTGGCGTCAAGCAAAAACATTTTTTATTTTCCTGCTATTGTAATGTTTAATTCATCTTAACTGGAGGTTTTAGTATATGAACTGTCAGATGCTGTGGTGTTTTTGTATTCTACTCATTTATTGTAAGCCATCTCGAGACTTTGTAGTGGACGCCTTAGAAAAGCTTTTAGTTAGTAAATAAACAAATAAATGAATGACTTCCTCTTGGGCCTGCACAGAACAGTTTTCCAAAAGAGGAGTCTCTTGTTGTGAGTTTTTGAAACAAAGCCGGGCTTTGGGGGCCTGCTTCTTCCTTCCAGCTCAGATCAACAAAAGCCCCTTTCACATGGTATCCCGGCATTCTTTACAGAGGACTGCGGGGCTGGTGAACATTTTATGGCAGAACAAACTGGGTCTGTGCAATTGCAGACGTTGGACAGGCAGAGGTGGTGAAAATCGTGACCGATTCTGTGGTCACAGCTTCTCCCATGCAGTGTGTCTGCAAGCCAGCTTCTAAAGGTGTGCACAAATTTATCCTTTGGTTCTTCAGCACAGTTCATGTTTCTTCCAAGAAAATAAGCTTTTAATTTAAGCAAGCTGTGGCTGGCATTGTATACGGGTTCCACATCTCTGGGTGCCACCACTTGGAGCATGTCTGGTTTGGCTTGTGATGCTGCTGTTTCCAATTTTGCTGGAAGGTAATTAAAATCAAATAGACTCTAAGATGCTTTGCATGAGGAGAAGCGGGCGAAATAAACCCTTCCAATGAGACATCTATTATGGGGAGTAGATCCATTGTTCATATTTCAAAAGCTGGAATTAGGGAACAGCATTCTGTCTGGCAACAACGTTTTCTGTCATCCCATTGGCTCAAGAATGGAAGCTCCATCATCTATATACCAGGAGGGTTCCATGAATGTTCTCAGATAAACTGGTGGTACCATTTGGGCTCAGATGAGGCAAATCCTTTGCAATTCCAGCCAGCACTAGAAGGATCTGCAGGTAGTGTGCTTGGAGGAAGATGCATGCAGAATAACCATGGGAGACATGTGGTCTCCAGAACATGGCCTGAAGGCACATGAGGATGCTAAGGTGCTAAAACTGCCCAGTCAGAGCTTGGAGGGGAAACCACCCAAGAACCACAAAAAGCCACCCAGAGATCTTTGATGGAAGGTGGGATAAAATGAAATAAATAATCCATGTGGCCCGTAGCCTAATTTCAAGGGTGCATAAATGGTCCCTAGCTGGGAAGTTAGATTTAGAATCAGTTAGATCTAGAAACAACGTGCCTCTGAACACTGGTAGGAAGGGCTGCTCTCCTCAGGTCCTGCATCTGGTTGACTGTTGTGGATGATGGGCTAGATGACAGGATGATGGGCTAGATGACCCTATGGTCTGGTCCAGCAGAGCTGCTCTTCTCTTCATGTGGAAGGCGGGACAGCAGCTGCCAGATGTGACTTCACAATTCGCCTCTGCCATGGACAGTTTTTTCATGGGAAGCACCTGTCTCCACAGAGGCTGTGAGAGACGTTGTTTTGTGGTGATATCCAGACCGTGGGCACCTAACACTGCCCTGTTCATGCTGCCACTTAATGTCTGGGAGCAAACTGTAGGTTGTGGCAGGGGATGCCCATAAGCTCAAGGTAGAATTGAGCCTCTGTGGTTTTGAAAATAGGCTTGAGAAAGGATAGTGTGATGCTAGCAGATTAAATATGGTGTGATAGCTTAGAGATCATGCCATCGGTTATGTCCCTGTCTGCTCTTTGCAGTCTCCAAAGGAGGTTCTTCTGATGGTGTGGTCTGGTTCTGCTGTAGCTTCCATATAGCCTGAAGTACTGGATCCTGCTGCTTCTTGAAAGCTAAGCAGTGTCAGGCCAGGTTAAAATCTGGATGGGTGACTTAAATGTTGTGAATGGCCCAGAAAGCTTCAGCTCTGGGTAGTATACAAATGTTATAATGCGTATCTTAGTGTTGGGGCACCATCCCCTGGAATGTACTCCCAGGTGCTAAGCAAGCAGTGCCTGCAGTTCTGAATTTTAGGCATCTCTTGGCTTTCCTTGAAGCAGTATGATCACTTTATTGCCATATATTAGTGTTGTCGTTGTTTTGATGTTTGCTGCTTTGATAACTTCAGTTGGCAAATAAATTGCAGCATCTACATGGGCAAAACAAACATATGGATGGACCATTTGCTCCATGGTCATTTGAATCTACCCAAATTAATTGGAAGTGGTGTTAGCCATTAGGAACCAACATTGCCTGAAAAACATAGAATTGAGCAGAAAGTCCACATTTATCTGTATCTGCATCGGTAATACATAAACAAAAGCCCCATCAGTCGGAGGTGAGTGCAGGAGTCGTCTGGTTTTAAAAGGCTTGCTCTTACACATGCAAATCTTTAATTAAACATACTCATAAAACTATAATGAACCGTTCATTTAATTAAATGGGGTGAGTCATTTCATTAATTTTTAGCAAACTGCAGAGCCACTGTGCTGCCCTCCTCTGCTGGAATTCAAAGGGAAGAGATGAGCTGCGCAAAGGAATTAGCTTCCCTTGCGTGGAGTAGCGAGGTGGCTCCACTGGGCTTCCCGTGTGCACAGGGTTTGTTCTAATGCTCTCCAGTGCTGGTGCACGTTGATTTTTTCTCAAGTCTTTCTCTTCTTCTTGGAGTCATACCTGTTCTTGTCTTTTGGTTGTGTCACCCTCCTAATCTAGCTGCCCCACTCCAGGATGTAATGGATCGGGACACATCCGGGGAAAGTACGCCAGGCACAGGAGGTGAGTTTGATCACCGCTGTCTCCACTCTCCTGCTCATCAGCTCAGTCGCTTCCACCCAGCAAGGGAGGTGAGCACATCCAAGCAGCATCCGAATTTGCAACAGATGTGCTTGGGGAGAGGCTTTCCCATGTGCCTGTGTCCAGCATGTGGTACATAAGAACTTAAGAACGTACGAAAAGGCCTGCTGGATCAGAGCCAAGGTCCATTTAGACCGCACGGAGGCAAAACGGCTGCCCACAGGATCCCTCCAGCAAGACAGGTGCAAGACCCCCTCCTGCTCCAGCTCTTCAGCAACCGGCGTTCGGCAGGCATCCCATCTCTGGTGAAGGAGGGAGCACATGGCCAGCAAGGCTAGTAGCCACAGATAGCTTCCTCCCTCCTCTAGATTAGTAGCCATCACCACTTCCTGTGGCAGTAAATTCCATAGTTTAACTACACGCCATGTGAAGAAGCCCTTCCTTTGATCTGTCCTGAACCTCCCCCCCCAGTCAGCTTCATGGGATGACCCCGGGTTCAAGTGTTATGGGAGAAGGAGAAAATTGTCCTCCTCTCTGCGTTCTGCACACTGTCCGTTATGGTAAGCACAGTGTGCCCAGTGTTCTTGGGGGGCTGCACCCAACTCTGAAGACGGTTGCCAGTTGTGCAACCAGGTGTCCACAAGCTTTTGTGGACCTCCTCTCAGCTCAGCTCAGCTCAGCGTGGAAGACTGGACCAAGCACAAGAGGAAGCCTGGGAATGCTTGGAGGGACAGATTCCAAAAGGGTTCAACCCAACGCTACCTCTATATCACTTCTTTTGACGTCTGAACCCAGCATTGCTGTTGTTTTGTTTTCACGTGATGTCAAGACATCTCTGACTTACGGCATCCCTGAATGAGAGCCCCGCAAAATGTCCCGTCCTTCATAGTCCTGCTCAGCTCTTGTAAACTCAAGGCTGTGGGTTCCTTGATGGAACGGAGATGGAATCTCATAATTGGTCTTCTGCTGTCTTCAACTTTCCGTAGCATCATTTATTTATTTTTCAATTTATATCCATTGTCTTCTCCAGGGAATTTGGCCTTCTCCGTGTCCTCCACTGAAACTCTTTTGTTCTCTCTTCTGCTCTGCCGTTATCTTCCAGTTTACAAAGTTGTCCACTAGCAAAGAAGAGGAAACTTCAGCATGTGGAGGCAGAACATCTGGCATCCAAGAGGAAATCCCACCCCCTTAAGCTAGCCCTTGATGAAGGCTACAACGTCGACAGCGACGGTAGTGATGAGGGAGAGGTGAAAGAGGCGGAAGAGTCCGTGACGGATGACTCTGAAGGCACGCTGGAGGAGGAAGAGGCAGAGACAATAGACCAAGATGAAGTCTGCCGCAGCCCCCCGCCAGAAGAAGGTGCTTTATTTCATTATGATCCGCAGAGATGTATGTTATGGCTTAGAACCGAGGCAAGGGGTGTTAATAATCTAGGGCTATAACTCCTCCAAAAATATATGGAGAAATTCTCCAATCACATCATTAGGTAAAGGATCTGAAGAACGGTTTAGGATTAAAGAACAAAATAATCAGTTAGAAAGAGAGACCTGATCAACTGCCCAGAGAGCCTCAGCGATTGAGAGGTACAAAAATGAAATTAAATAAATAAATAAATGAAATGCCAAGCCAAAGAACAGGTTCAGTATGGGTTGTCATCGAATTATGGGTTATTGTTGAATAATGGGCTGTTGTTATGTGTGAACCCTGCACTTTGGTTTAACTGTGAACATCCCAGAATCCACAAGCCAATGACAAACCATGGGTTCTCTTGTTCATGATTAACAACCCATAGTTAAACCATAGTGCAGAGTTTACACGTAACAACAATCCACAATTCAACAATTTATCTATATAGTGAAGCCAGAACATTCAGGCAAAAGCCATCACAATGCAAATGAATTCTGGATTCTTCAAAAACTACTTGGTGTGCTTCCAGATGAAGGACTCCCAAATGCTGCCCATCAAAAGACATTGTAGCTCTATCCCATCTTTCCCTCCTTAACCAATTGTTTTGTGGAAAGGAAAACAGATGAAATATGCAGTAGGAAAACACGCAAGGGTTACGAGTGGATGATGATACGAAACTTCAGCCGCATTTCCTACATGTTCTCATCTTCCAATATCCCTTTAGTTCCACTCTGTTTGAATTTAATTTTGATTACTATCAATGCTTGGTTCAAAATAAGACTGCTAACTCAGAGTGGTGAACTCAGTCATATCACATCTGTGCTCCATCAGCTACACCAGCCAGATGAATTATAAGTGCCAATTTTAACCATTAAAGCTCTCAGTGGCTTGGGACCAGGAAAACAGAAAGATTGTCTTCTGCTCAGTTCCTGAGAGCCTCTCCAGGCACCTTATCATGGTGTGTCCACCCAAGTGGAGCCGGTGGGCAGCTATGGGGAAGGGGTTGCTTGTGATGGTCACTTCATTGCAGACTGCTCTGTCCAGACACCTTCTTTAATATCATTTTGGAACCAAGTGAATCTTTTTTTAAAAACCTGTGACTCAACAAGGATGTGATTTCAATGCTTTTAATGACCATTCTGCATTAATGCAGAAATGTTTTTAATGACCGTTCTGCATTAATGCGGAAATGTTTTTAATGACATTTCTGCATTCACTGTTTTTATCCTGCTTTCTGTCTAGAAAAAGTATTTTATGCTGCAAGTTGATTTTATGGCATTGTATATAGAGATTATATTTTGTTTTATGTGTGCCACCCATGGCACTGCATGGTTTTATATCAGGGTGGGCAACTTATTTGCCCTCCCAAATATTTTGGCTCACAATTTCTATTATTCTCATTTTTGGCTATTCTGGCTAGAGCTGATGGGGATTGTAAACTACAAGCTGGCCACCTCTGTTTTAGAAAACATAGTAAACAACAAAATATATAAGATGCTTGTAACACGTTTGTTCCCATTTCACACTGTCCCTGGGACAGGCAGGCCTTTTGCTTGCCCATAGCTAAATTACCAATACATTGTGGCTTCAGGGTAGAACCAATCCATTGGCACCGCTTCTCTTGCCATCAGTGGCAATTCTTCAATGACAATGAGTACCAATTCACCCCAAAGCCATGGGCTCCAAGAAGAGAGTGATCTTGGCCACACCAAAGACAAGTACTTGGCCTGAGGATCCCAGTCGTATTACTCTCTTCGTGTAAATGTAGAGAATGATGTATCTGTCCATACCTTCATTGGCATCAACCTTTGGTGTGACGTTTTCTCTGCATAAATACTGCTCCAGAGAGGCACAAGACCAAGCACACACGTGTCTGTCTAGTTGATGACTTCAGATGCCATCCTGGGGAAAATAAATGTCAAATGTTGACATTCATCTCATCGGAGAGAGCAATTTTAGGAGAGAAAACTGCCTGTTTACCTTCCATTACTGAATGCTATAAATGTGGCCGCAACTGGAAATGCAACAGCAAGACATAGATTTTGATGAAACCTTTAGCTTGGGCTATTCACAAGTTTCTCTGGTTCCCCTCCCCTTTTTCTTTCCCATTTACAGGGCAGATCCCCAGAAACCCCCATACTGGGCAAAGTCTGGGCACTTTTACCCCGGGCTGCCTCAAGGCCAGCTCCAACAGCTGCCGAGAAATAATTGCCAACTCTCTTTTAAATCTAGGCCAAATAGCAGAAGGAGTTCTGGCAGTCACGGGGCAGCCATCTGAAAGCGAAGGACAAGTCTCCAGTGCTGGGGCGAGTGTTGGGCATTTGCCACATGGAGAAGCAGAGGAGGAAGAGGAGGAGGAGGAAGAGGAGGAAGAGGAGGAGGAGGCAGCTGAGGAGGAATGTGAAAAGGAGATCATCATCCAGACAGAAGATGCCGAGGAAGTCATTGAGGTCACCAGTGAACGCAGCAGTGACCTGTGCCTGGAACATCGAGATGACGAGGTGAGCTATGAGGAGTCTTGCAAGCTGCAAAAAGGCGAGGAGGAGGAGGAGGAGGAGGAAGAGGAGGACGAGGAGGAAGAGGAGGAGGAGGAAGATGATGATGATGAAGAGGAGGACGAGGAGGACGAGGAGGAGGAGGAGGAGACGGCAACCAAAGTGATCTGCGAAGAAACTCCTCACACATCTCAGGACTCCCCCAAAACCCACTGTGATGGGCCACTGGTCAGCCCCAAGCCTGAGTATTCCGTTATCGTGGAGGTGAGATCAGACGACGACAAGGACGACGACTCCCACTCCCAAAAATCCACTGTGACCGACGAGTCCGAGATGTACGACATGATGACTCGGGGGAACCTGGGGCTCTTGGAGCAGGCCATCGCGCTGAAAGCCGAACAGGTGAAGGTGGTGAGGGAGCCCGGCCAGCAGCTGGCGGAGGAGCACGCGAAGCACTTCCAGGTCGAGGAGAAGCAAAGCAAAGGCCTGGACTCCATCCGGAAGAGCTACTACAGCAAAGGTGGGGGCCTCTCCCGTCCGGGGGCGGAGGACCCAAGCTTGCTTGGGCCTGGGCATTCCCATCGCTTGAGTCCTCTACCTGTCCCCGGTCTGCTAGTCGCAGCAGAGGCTGAGACAAGGTTGTTGGGCATCTCTGCGATGATTCCTTTCCCTCCTGGCCCCAAGGAGTATGATACTATGCCTCTCCTGGCCCCATGTGCTGCACTGGGCAACCGGGGAGCAGAAAACGGCTCTTTCTCGCTCCCTCAGTGATAGGCAATTCCGAGAGGAAAGGAGGACACCCTCTTTCTGTTTCTCAGACGTTCCGTGGGCCCATTCATGCAGTGAAATGGCTTGGCAAGTTCAGGACAAATGAAAAGGAAAAGCTGTTTCATTCTGTGCTAATTAATCTGCCATATTCATGGCCACAAACTGGGGCAATAATCACTAGCACAGATGATTTTGTGAAAGGACTCGAATCGCTCGAAATGTCTGAGCAGCAGCAAGAGATAAGAGCTTCACACAAAGAATGAGGACACATGAGAACTCAGTTCCCATTTGTGTAACACAGAACGTGTTCTGTTCATACCCCTAAAGAGGAGCAAATTTTGCGGGTAGAATTCACATATCCCCAAGCTTGCAATAGTGTTTGCAAAATGTGTTCCTTAGAAAAGTGAGCATTTTTTTAATATATGCATTTTCCCACTTTTGCCAGTGTGGGAAAAATACACATTTGGATACACACTTTAAAAAACACATGTATCCAAATGCACAACGTCCCCATTAGAACGACAATAACAAAGCTCACAACTGGAAACAGGAATGAGGCTGCCCAAGCTCTGGGGTGGAGCTTGGAAAACTTGGATGAACTCAAGCTTCACGGCCTCTCCTCTTCTTAAAAGAGCTGGCTTCTCCCAGTCTTTGCCTCCATTGTGTTTTGCTAACCAGAAGTAGCTGGGCTGTCACTGTGGAAGACAAACTGTGCGTTAAGATGGTTATTTTGGAGTTATACATCAAGGCAATTTTAGAGGTTGTCTGTGTGTTGCTTTTATGCTCACAGGACTGCAGTTCTATAGCACAACTTCCTCCTTGCCTACCTGGAGCTGATTCACACCATCAAGGTGTAGTAAATACTATGTCTGTTAGCGCCACAGCCTAATCTTAGTTTTAGGAATAGTTCAGGCAGCAATGTTTAAAGAACTAAGCACCATTCCCAACGGACTATTGGTCTGCTCGTTCCATTTTCCTCTAGTGAAAATGTACACATCTTCTTCACTAGCTATTTCCACAGGCCCTTCATAGACCTGCCACTGAAAGTGAAATGTAAGCCAAACTTGAAGGTTCTTCTCTGAAGAATTTCCAGGGGAGCAAGAGGAATTCTAATAAGACTAATTTCTCAGGAGTGTTTAGCACAGCTTGTAATCTCCTCCCTGAGTCATCTTCTCCACCCATTCCTTAGATCCTTCAAGACCTGAGAAGCGTGAGATCAAATGCCCAACGCCTGGTTGTGATGGAACGGGTCACGTCACAGGGCTGTATCCTCACCATCGCAGTTTGTCTGGCTGCCCACACAAGGACAGAATCCCTCCCGAAAGTAAGTTTGCCTCTGAGCCATTCACACAACAGAGTTTGCTTCATGATCAGCAGCTGCTCCTGCATTTCAACCAAGGAGGAAGGACTTTTTCATCAAAGGGAAGGCCTCGCTAGTGGTGTCCGCCAGCTGTCCAGTCCCCCACCCCCCAGTGAGGCTCATTTGATGCCTTCTTTGTGGTCTTTTGAACAGCAGCTGTTGGTCCTTTTATTTTTAGTCCTGCCACTTTTTAGCAATGGTGATTCTCTTCCTGTTGATTTTAGGTTGGTTATATTCTGTTGCTTTGCTTTATAGGGTATTTATTATATACTTTATGTTTAGATTCTATTATTTGGGTCTGTCAAGGCTGTTAATGGTTACTAGTCCTACTGGCTATTTGCAGCCAGCAGTAAAGAAGCAATATGGTGGCACCCATATATGCCAATATATATGATTCTGTGGGGCACAGAGCACCATCATAGAAGAGTAGAGCTGGAAGGGGCCAGAGGGCCATCCAGCCCCCTGCTCAGTGCAAGACTCCAAGTTCAACCATTGCTGGCAGATGGCTGTCCATGCAGCTTGAAGGCCTCCAGGGTGGGAGAGCCCCCACCTCCCAGGTCATGGGGTTCCACCATCTTACAGGTCTAACAGTCAGGATTCTTTTCCTGATATCTAGCCAGGATCCGGCTTCCTGTAGCTCAAGCATGTTACTCCACGTCCTGCACTCTGGGATGATGGAGAAGAGATCCTGGCCTTCTCTTTGTGACAACCTTTGAAGTACTTGCAGAAGGCTCTCCTGTCTCCCCTCAGTCTTGGCCTGTTTGTGGATTTCCCATGGGCAGCTGGTTGACCTCTCTGTGAACAGAACACTGAGTGAGCAAGACCCATGGCCTGGCCCAGTGTGGAAATCTGTTCTTATTTTGTGACCAGTCCAGAGGTTTTTGACCGTTAGACCTTACGGAAACGTAATTTAAACTGGATGCATTAGTAGATAAGGCAACTCTAGTGCCCCTGGAGGTGAGGTGAGGTGTTCCAGGTGCAGCGTGACAAAGGTGACAGCAGAGAAGGCAACGCAACAGTCAAGTAGCAGCTGAACAGATCAGAGGGAGCGCATCGCTTAGTAGCAGATGATGTGAGAGAGCCTGATTCCATCTGTGGCATGTCCAACCCAAAGGATCTCTGGCAGCCAAGCTAAAACAGAGATCGCCATGTTGGGAAGCCAGTGCCAGTCCAGGGAAAGTGGGCAGCCCTCTCCTCTGCTCCCAGAAAGAGCAGATTAATCCGACATGAGAAACAGGTGAGGAGACATCCAGGAGGCAACGTGGGAAGTATGGAGACCCCAAACTACACACATCTCCCTTTTCTTTTAAGTGACGCGCCAAAAATGTCTCAGGTGTAAGCCTGAAACTGCGCAGCGTGAACAGGAAGGAAGGTGCGGTTGGCTGCAGCTGCTTGCTGGATATCTCCTCGAGGCGAGCCCAGCTTCGCCTCTGCTGAAAGCTGTGTGCAGATTCTTCTCATGGGCCATTTGCCGTCGCCCTGTAAGGCTCCAGGACATGTGCGGATGTCGAGGCAGCCTGTGCAGTGCAAGGGCAAGCGGAGAGTCCAGCATCGCTCTCCCTGCGGCCGTGACTCTCAGTCCCACACGGACACACCCCTGCCCCTCGCACAGGGATTGTGATGATGACTTTTCCGGCAGGGTTGCCTTAAGGATGGCGGACAGGATGGAAATCGTGGGGTGACTTCCTTTATCTCACTTGGCTCACCAACCAAGCATTTCCCACTCCCTAATCCCTGCAATGTGCTCTGCATTCATGCCCGGCTGGTGGACTTCCAGAGGCGCCCGGTTTACCACTGTGGGAACGGAATGCTGGCCTAGACAGACCTGGTCCTGCAAGACAGTGCTTATGGTCTCGTGTCTAATTCTCAAATTGTGAATATTCCTATCTCTACCAACAAAACAGCTTGGGTGTTTAGTTTCCATCTCATGGAGGAAATGTTGTTTTGTAACAACAGTCCTTTGCTTCTTTAATGTGCTGAAGACAATGGGCTAATCCTGTGCATGCTTACCGGCAGAAAAACCCCACTGAATCTGGCTTAATACCCTTGCATGTCTGCCAAGAAAACTGAGCAAAAATCTCTCTTCTCTATATAAATGCAACTTTGCAAGAAAAACATATGAGCTGCATAACCGAAGCTTTTGGGTGATACTGGTAGGGTGCCTGGAACTCTAGCTGTAACTCAAATCTGTTACAAATTTAACTGTCATACCATCCAGGTCAGGAATAGAGGAACTTCAAACCAATGATCTATAGAAAGGGACAATTCCTGATGCTAAACCATAATCTAAATTCTTCAGTTTGGATCTCTACAAGCATTCTGGATTGCATAGCAAACCTCAGCACATACAGATTTGCCTTGAGGAGGGGGTACAGCTAGTGTGCTCCCCATCCTTGTATGTCTGCTCCATTGCAGTACAGGATGACTGAATCAAAGACGCATGTCCATAATTTCTGCAGCGCCGTGCCCAGCACTTTACGCTAGACTCTGGTGCACAAGCAACTGTAACATATTGGATAAGAGACTGGGCTGTTAGCTAAGATGCCTCTTGCTTTTTATTTCGGCTCAGAACTCACTGGCTGGCTCTGTTTCTTTGTCTCTCTCTCACACATATGCATGGAGAGAGAGAGAGAGAGAGAGAGAGAGAGAGAGAGAGAGAGGGAGGGAGAGAGAGGGAGAGAGAGAGAGAGATATTCCTTTGTAATGTGGGGATCATTTTTAGGGCTTATGTTAGAGTGCTGGAAATGGGGGAGTTAAGTGTGTGCTTAACTCTCTTCCTTTGGAATTAGTGGAACTTCAGAATGACGTATGGCCCTTGATTTCATAGGCAATTCTCCTGACATAGCCCTGGTCTAAGGACACTGCTGTTTCTAAGCAGCTGGGGCTGGTCAGTCCCTGGTGGGGAGACCACCTGAGTGCAACATGTAAGTTGCCTTGACTTCCATGATGGAAGAGAGGTGGGATATGATTTATGTATGCGTGCATCCCCCACTCTGTAGCCGAAAAGTCTCCTGGAGCAGCTTACAAAAATTGGTCATGCTCTTATAATGTGCTGGAGAAGCACTTGGCATTGAACTAATCAGAGGTGGGCCTCTGCCTTCCCATCACTCGTTTTGCGCTTCCTCTCCTGCTTCCCTGCATCTACTTGAGGCTGTTAGCCCCTTGGGGTCAGCATCTGTCACGCCTGCAAAGCACCATGTACATAGAGGGTGCTATATGAACAATTAATATACAAGCAGAAATGCAGCCAATAATTCTCATTCTTATGACAATACCAGCATGGTCCTTTGCCATTTTTAAAGCACTCGTTGTTATGTGCCATCAAGTCATCTCTGATTTATGGCACTCCTGTGAGTGGAAGCCCTCCAAAAAGTCCCATCCAGGACAGCCCTGCTTAGCTGTTATAAATTCAAGGCCATGTCTTCCTTTATGGAGTCCATCCAATCCTTGTTTGGACTTCCAAATTATTTAGAAATATTCATTTAGTCTTGCCTGGAAGGAATCAGCCTATACTGATTTCCATGAAATGTTTTTGAACAATAGATGTTTTAACTTATCCCAATGTACTTTGCAAGCAATTGGAGGAGCGTGCGGGGGCGGGGGGGGGGGGAGACAGAGCAAATGTGGAAAATTCAACGGAATTTAAGTGGTCACTTTCATAATGTTTTCCCAAGCATTAATAAGAAAGTAGAAAGTGGCACTAAGACATTTCATATACTAATTTCTCCCCAAAGGATAAATATTTAGTCCTTTGCCTTTAAACTAATTTCTTTTGAAACTGCATCACAAGAAACTCTGCTTGTGCTTATGATAATAAAGAAAGAAGCCCCCCATCTTAGCGGTTCATTTCAAAGGTGGCAGAGCTGGAGGTGGGGGATGAGAGAACAAGACATCAGCTATTCTCTGTCATCTGTGATATGTGTTTTTAAAAACATAATAATAATGCAAGCCGTATGCTTTCCAAGGAACTGTAAAACAAATTATTTTCTTTGCTTTTAAGGTCATCCCTGCAGGAGGCAGTAAGATTAGAATCGTTTTTTTTAAAAAATCAGAGACTATGGATGAAAGCAAATACCATTCCAATCACTTAAAAGTACCTGAAAGAGACAGGCAGGGGAACTGTAATGAAGCACTACTACGAAAAATACGTTTTTAAAGTATCTTTTTAAAAACTAAACATTTGTATTCATTCGTCCTACAAAGGGATTAGATCAACTTACACAAGGTTTTTCGGAGGCCCCCTGTCTAGATAATGCTGCCAGAGGCAACTGCTGAGCTTCAAGTCCTTCCAAACCATTTCCCCAGCTCTGTTAGAGATATCAGGGAATGCTGAGACCAACCCTAAAACCAGACAGAGCTTCCCGGCTCACAGCTCACGTGCTTAACCGCTATGCTGCACCTGCTTGGGATGTTTCTGCCAAGTGGTCTGGACGTTTATGCCAGACGAAGCTGGAGGAGATTGCAGGGCTCCGAGATCTTTCGTGCTAATTTGAGACTTCCATATCCCAGCAGGTTGCCAGGAAACCCATTGCACTGAGACCTGGTTTGCTCTCTTTTTGTTCTCCTTAATCATGTTGTTGCCTCTTCACCATTTCTCTCCTTTCTGTCTTCACTGTAAAGTCTTGGCCATGCACGAGAATGTATTAAAATGCCCGACACCTGGGTGTACCGGACAGGGACACGTGAACAGCAATCGCAACACACACCGCAGGTATGTGCTCCCCTGCGTTCTCGTCATGTCATGGCAAAGGTGTGGGTTTTCCTCGGCTAATTTTAAAGCTGCTCAGGATATCACAGTTGCCAGCAGTAGAACTGCAGTCCTAGTAACCATATTGCACTAAGAAACTGGGCCGGATGGGTGGTACGTTTATCACAGATGCCTGGCTGATCTGGGGGATGTTAGACCTGGGACAGAGAAAGGGGGAAAGGGGGAAAAATATATTTGAGGCTCAAAAGAGGCCATGGCACAGACCAGATATATAACATGAAACTCTGGTTTGCAGCTCCGGGAAAGACCTCAGGTGCATGCAGGTGCTGCTTGCATGCAGCATTTTTCCTCTCTAATGACCATGAAAAGGGATGGGGAAGTTTGTTTCCATTTCCGAACAAGCCACAGGTCCAGTCAGAGTTGCCCACCTATAAAGAGGTAGCCGCAGAGGGGTGGATTCTGCCACTCCCCTCGCCCAGCCCAGCCCAGAGATGCCCCCACCCACTTTAGTCAGTTCTGTAGCCAGCTCAGCCAGGGGTGGTGGGAAGGGGCCAGCGGGGCTCCAAAGCTCTCGTGAGATGTCAGCAGGTGGCCAACAGTTCCTGCTCTCTCACCACGGGGCAAGATCATGCGACCCCTGGGCCACGAGTGCAGAGCTCCGTGGCACCGCTGCAGTCTCAAGCAGGGAAAGGGGGTTTGTGTGGCAACTCCAGCGGGGAGGGAACAGTTTCACCACCCTGGCAAGGCTGCCGATGGTGGCGGAGTGTGTCCTTTTGCTGTGGGGACAAGAGCGCTCACACTGGAGCTGTTCCTGCTGAAACCCGAACTTGGGGAACTGTGGATGGTCTGGATTATCGGTAGGGAGAACAGGAAGATCCAAGCATGGCTGCAGCACCTGACTTGTTCGGATGCCCTCATTTAAGCAAACCACAGTGCTCTGAGTTCAGACATCAGGAGGAGCTTGGGTTAATGTGAGGTTGGAAGGGATGCTTCCAGTCTCCTCCTCTGGGACGGGAAAGGGATGGGAGGGGAGAAGGCAGAAGGGTTGTTCACACTGGCGGCACAAGAAAATAGTCTTGGGAAGGGTATCAAAGGGAATTTTAGGAGATAGGTGAGCATCTGAAAAGTGCTTGTGGATTTAGCAAGGGGATGAGGTGAATTAGCTGTCTTGGGCAAGATGTTTGATTTCACACACACACACACACACACAAGCTTTCTTCTGGTGCCTCCTACGAATTCCTGTAGCATGAAACTATGGTTAATGAAAGCAATTAATATAAGTGGGTTTGAAAGGTGGGGATCACTACTTGTCCTGTGTAAATGGATTACATTCCACCTTTGGTAATCAGTAGGTATGGACTCACCTGACCTCTCTCTCTCACACACACACACACACACACATCCACACAGAGAAACCAGCCTGGTGCGCGTGTCAGACCTTTGCCTGCCTGTTCCTACTGCACTTGACCGCAAGTGGTCCAAGCGCTGATGACTCACTTTATTTTTATTTTCCCATCTCTTTTTTGTTACAAATGCTATCGCACGCTGCTCTTGCTGCGCACATTGAAAACAGAGCTACAGTGAATGCAGGTCGTAATCATTCCCAGGCAGTTTGTGGATTCTTCCGCATGAGACTCTTCCTCCCCTACAACTACTGCCTGTTTCATTATTCTAAAAAAAACAAGCTTTGAGTACTACCAGAGGAGTTGCCTTCCTGCTTTGCCACTACATAACCTCTAGGTGGCACTGCACCGTAGCAGAGTAGCACAGCCACACGAGAGGACATTACCCTGTCTTCCAACCTCAGGAATATTACCCAATTTTCCTGCTCTAAAAACGTGCAGAATGTGCCGTTTACAAACAGAAGCAAAACAAGAGGGTCAACACATCCTCCAAAGAGCCTGTAAACAGCCCTGCGAGCATGCACCAAGCGTATCATGCAGAAAAGCTCTGCAGGAGGGGAAAACATGGAAGCCGTGATAGGGACACTGCCCAAAGAGAGCATATGCTTTTAGATGCTGTGTTCCTAAGAGTGATTAATGGCATGTCAGCCTGTCCTGTTGTCACTCTCAGGAAGCATTTCGGCCCCATTTTCAGCACCTGTGGTCTACCGCTCCCCGAGGCAGAAAAGCCAAACTGTACAAAACAAAAAGGACACAGTGCAAGCCACTTCCACGAACTTTTAACCCATTTAAAACACTGAAAAGACGCCCAGATGGTGAAGGGATCTTCCTTTAAAAATGCAGTGTTGCAACAAGAAGGGACTGGCTTGCTAGCAGACACAGACAAGAGGAAAGCAAGCATGTTCAGGACACTGCTCTCCTTCTCTAGCCACCAGGTTTGCACAGGTCAAAATTATGCAAAGCCTGGAAGTAACAGTGGACCAAAAGAAATCTGGGTACCTTCCGGGAATGAAAACTCCCTCAGATCATTTTTGGCTCTTAAAGACTGTGTCATCCGTCTCCAGCCTTAGCCTCTGGGGACTTGTGGCATGAGCCATGCATTTCGTGCTGCTGTTATGTGCCGTCAACTTGCGGCCACTCCAGCCATGTATTAACCTCCGCAATACAGCCTCCTGCAGGGATCCTTCCCAACCGGATGCATCCCAGAATGAGTGCTCTGCCTCCCTTTTGAAACCATGCTGTCAAGAGCCTGGACTGCATGCACTGGTCCCAGAAGTTGCCTTGTAGTTCCTGCGGAATAGCCGGTTAGGGCACGAGCCACCCATTTCTCTGTAACGGAGCAAAGGGTCCTGAGCAATTCCATCCATCCGAGTTGGAATCTGGCAGATCCACTTGCTATTAGTTTTCGCACTCGGTTTCCTGTTACTGTGCCGCTCCTGCAGCCCAGGTCTCCTACTGATGCTAACTGAGACTCCATCTTGCCTCGCATCAGACACGGGGAAGGAAAGAAGCAAGCAGCAGGGCACAACAAGAAATGGATGACGATATAGAGTGTGTAACCTGGCCACCCCTCATGAGCTGGTCATTTTTTACAACATCCTGGAAACATGGATTACTAGATCCTGGAAACTAAGATTTTGTGGCCAGACTAGCTGAAATTGAGTCTTGGTCTATGGGTTTGATGTAGCTCCTACCTCTGCTTCAGTTGCTCAAAATGAGTGTGGTGGCTAAAACTCCGAGTCCCAGATTTTGCTTTCGCTGCTGCCACAAACTTATTAGGTAGCTTTGGCGAGCTGAGGCCACTGCAAGGCATCTTGCTGCAGAAAGCAAAGGGCGGGATGACTGCCCCCTGCTCCCTGCAGCATTCTGTGTGCTGGACTGCTGGAGAGCTGTTCCTGAGGGCGGCCAGCTAGTTGACGGAGCACGAGGAGACCTAGCACAGAGACCTGTTCTCCAGAACCTTCCCACTGCTCCAGACCCCACAGCTTCTGCCACCAGAGGAGTGCCCCACTCTGCCCAATGCAAGGACCAGACCAAAAGGAAGCCATGTCTTGCCTCTGAAATGCAATAGTAATCATAGAATCGTAGAGTTGGAAGGGGCCATGAAGGCCATCGGGTCCAGCCCCTGCTCGTGCAGGACACCAAGTCACACCATCCCACTCGGAGGGCTGCCCAGTTTCTTTCTGAATGACTCTAGTGTGGGAGAGCCCACCACCTCTCTAGGCAGGTGACTCATTATATAGACTTGTAAAAATTGCAGCAAGCTAATGTCTAGGAAATACTTTAAATGCTCCGCACTGTTGGATTAATCTCTCTCTCCCTCTCTCTCTCTCTCTCTCTCTCTCTCTCTCTCTCTCTCTCTCTCTCTCTCTCTCGCTGTCTTTCCATTTTGCTGTTCCTTCTCTCCTCCTTGCAACAGCTTATCTGGCTGCCCTATTGCAGCTGCTGAAAAACTAGCCAAATCTCACGAGAAGCAGCAGCCCCCGACTGGTGACCCTTCAAAGAGTAACTCAAATTCTGATCGGATACTCAGGTAATCGAGCCTGACCAAAATTATTATTATTATTATTATTATTATTATTATTATTATTATTATTATTATTTCAAAGTATTGGGGTTCCCTTCCCATATACTATAATCATGTGGCATTTCTGAAAGAAGAGCTTCTTGCCACTTGGGCAAATACTGGCACATCCTGGTTTTGCGGATGCTTTTCTTACCATCAAATGCAAAAAGAAAAAAGAAAAAAGCCGACCATCAGCCCAGTAACACTTTAATTGATGTTTCTAGTAAGGCCACGCGGGACAATGAATTAATGGTAAGACAACAGGCCAAAGTGTTTTAAACTATGCGAGCAAGAAGCATCCATACCGATCACATTGCGATGCAAACTGCCAGAGAATCACAGCCATTATAATGACATAACAAGGAGGTGGCGGAAAGTCACAAGCCGGTTGTCCACCTTCTGTTCAGTGAACGCATCCAACAATGCCCTTTTGTTTCCCAGACTGTGTGACTTTCAGGAGTGGAACGTGGCCCAAATTAATGACCAGCCACTTGAACAGGCTTGCTCTTCGTCACCCCCTCCTCAGCCTTTGAGTTTTCCAGACCATAGAGCTGCCTTCCATTCCAGAGTGGAAGCTGCATGCCCACTGCTTTCCCCTGTGATTAATCTGGAACAACGCTCATTCCGTGGTTCTGTAGGCAGACTTATTGGTGGCAGTTAGTATCCACACACTAGTAAGGACCGGGTGGGTAAGGAGAAGGTATTAGGAGTAAAGGCACCTGGTTCTCGATCTGAAACCCAAGCCGATGAGATCCATTCTGCAATTAGTGGCAGGAAGTGAGGCAATTACATACTCTCCAAAATCCTGTGGCTGAAATTAGGGATTCTCTTAAATGGTAACCCTCCAATACACTGTGTTAGCCATTCTTCTCAGTCTGCTGTATTTTATAGTCATTGACCTGGTTGACACGTAATGCTCAATTCCTGGCTTGTTTAACCCAGGATTTGGCCAGGGTGTGGGGGAGTGAGCAAGCCTGTTGGAAATTAACCCAGTTAATGCCACAGTCATGGGTTGTTTCATCATGACCAAATCAAACAACCCTGTTGTTTAGGGGTTAAACAAGCCAGGGCTAACCCAACAATTGCCCACAGTTTGTTGGAATTGATCTTATCTATTGATCAAAACCAGAGACAACAAGCACAAAATTTGCATTGCCCTCACAATTAGGTTAAGCAGCTGGGCCACTGACTTTGTAACTGCCTGTCCTCCAATAGCTTCTGAATCCCAAGCAACCTGACATATTAAAGAATCATACTTAGGTCTGCTATTTCTTTTCACTTTTCTAAAAATCAGACACAGGATGGGGAATAAATTGGATCAGAACTCTGGCACTGGAACAGGGAGAATCACTGGTATTTTGACACCCAGAATTATTCTTTAAGAAACATATTTCAAAACGGCCTGGAAGGAAATGTTCAGAAAATGTGTTAATATGGATAACTGTATTGCGCATTCTAAAGAGTCTGTTTACTGTCTGACCATGTGAAATATGCCACCTGGATAACAGTCAGCTTAGCAGTGCATGAATAGAAACTGAGACAGGAACTTCTTACAGCTCGAATAATAAGGAGAAATGATATTCATTTACATTAATACTTGACTTCTCTTCCTGTTTCTGGGTGGTTGGAAATATTGGTTAAAGAAAACATATGACTGTTTCCAAATAGGACTAGGAAATTCAAAATGGTGTTTTCCAAATTGTGAACCCTGTTTAAAATGTTTACATAGCTTATAGAAGAATAATGCGTGCAAGACACACGACACCCTATTGCTAACCCCGTAATAAGAATAGCTAGAATTTCTATAGCACTTTGAAGTGCTTGAAGAGCTTTGCACAAGGTCGTAAGGGAAATCATACGTTACCATATTTTTCGCTCTATAAGATGCACCTGACCATAAGACGCACCTAGAGGAGGGATCCATGGAAAGCTTCCTGATAATCACAGGCACATTCCCCATCGCTTCCCCATGGGCTTCATTAAAAGACGGGATGCCATTTGAAAACACACACCCACCTGTGATTAACAGCTCTCACCTGCGCCGGAGGAGGGGGGGCAGGGCAGGGCGTGCCGAGCTCGTGCCGGCCAGGTGGTGCCACGTGGGGCCAGCAGCATGCCAGCGGTGGTCTTCCCAGGCGGTGGGGGTGAGCAGTCCATCTCTCCGTGCGGCCGGCGGGTTAAAGCCCGCAGCTCCTCCTCCTCCACGGCCGGTCTTCCTGGGCGGTGGGGGTGAGCGGTCTGTCTCTCCGTGTGGCCGGTGGGTTAAAACGCATGACTCCTCCTCCTCCGCATGCCTCCCCCTGAGCGGCAAAGCTCTCACCTGTGCCGGGGGGGGGGGCGGAGCAGGGCGCACCAAGCGCGTGCCGGCCAGGTGGGGCCACGTGGTGCAGGCGGCCGGCAGCGTCCCGGGTGTCAGGCACACACACATTCGGTCTATAAGACGCACAGACATTTCCACTTACTTTTGAGGGGGGGAAAAGTGCGTCTTATAGAGCGAAAAATATGGTATTTGCATTACTGCAGAGCCAGAGGGTTGTCTTGCCTAGGTCCCCCTGATCAGTTCAGGTGAGGTGGACCTAGATTTAAACCAATGGCTTCCTGATTCCTAACTCAGACGACAGTTAGGAACATACACATGGACCTCAGGGGAAGTCCCACTGAATTTGATAGCAGTGACTTCTCAAAATACATGTGAAGGATTGCAGTTAGTCCCTTAGCTAGTATTCTATATCTAGAAGAATATGTGAATATGTAATGTATAACAAATATCGTATTTCCCCCAAAAGATATTTATTTTCCATCTCTAAAATATTACCTTGTGCTTTCCCTACAAACTATAATAGTCCAGACTTTCTATGTTCAAAGTAGGGAATTCTATTCAAAAACTGTGGATTTGAACATTGACTTCAAAGTAATGTCGTATCCCATTTCTGCTGCAATCAAAAGCTTTGTTTGGTTTAATGAAATAATTCAAAATTAATAACATATTATTTTGTCTTTCAAAAGAGTCGCAAGCCTCCACAAAGAAATACGCTGCCAAAACACATCCCACAAAATTCCCCCCGCAATGCAAATGTTCTGCAAAAATGCCGATCTTCTGTTTTCTCGTCCTTCTTCTCAGGCCAATGTGCTTTGTGAAGCAACTGGAGGTGCCTCAGTATGGGAGCTACAGGCCCAATATGGTTCCCACCACGCCAAGGGCCAACTTGGCCAAGGAGCTGGAGAAATACTCCAAGGTCACCTTCGATTATGCAAGTTTTGATGCTCAGGTTTTTGGCAAACGCATGCTTGCCCCAAAGATGCAGTCTAGCGAAACCTCACCTAAAGCCTTTAAATGTAAGTTGGGACTCGTCGTGTGAAGTAGTTTGGAATGCCCTGAAGGGTGTGTTGCTTCGTGTTGTTGTTGCTATTGTTGCATAAGTATTGCCCTACCAGATCAGACCACGGGTCCATTGGATCCAGCTTCCTGCTTCCAGCAGTGGTCCTCACCAGCCAGCTTCAAGGCTAGGCATGGTTAAGCACCTGCCAGAGGTCCATACGACTGCAGGCGCTCTCTTCGTCACACTGGCCATCTGGTTGCTCACCTGCTTCTTTCTCTGGCCAGCTAAGAAAAGTGAGCAGGAATGTACTTGCTTACTCGCTCTCTGCCTGACAAGCAGTGGTAGCCATTAAAAGACGGAGAGCAATGACAACTGATGACCATGCCAGGGAGAAAGGAGACTCCCTGGGCGAGGGCGCTGGTGGAGGATGCCTGGCCCAAGCACCTTCCAAATCTGGAACCAACGCTGGGCCCACCAGATGTTCAAAGTACATGGACGGAGTAACGGTCCTTCCACATTGCACATAAGAAGCATGTGTCATCAGAGGCATGTGGTGATCCCATTTCACTTTCATAGCTAGTAGTCTTCAACAGAATCATCCCCCAGGAATTCCAAAATTCATCCTCTGAAAACACCAAAACAACAACAAAACCAGAGCAAAGCTGTTGATCATGACTCCATATTGTGGCAGCGAATTCCACCAGCTAATATTGTGTGGGGTACAAAATTACTTCCTTTTGCCTCTCCTTCCTTCCTCCATCCTACCATTGGGCAACACTAAATCCAAGAATTATGGGGGATGGATTGGCTGTTAGATGAAAGCGAGTGTAATTTATTCTGACAGCCCTTTATGTCCTTAAGAAATAGCCTGGGGAAGAGTTTAAATTCAGCTCGGAGACCCGTACAGAAGGAAGTGCTTAGCCATTTCACTCCTCTAAATTCCCTCTGGGCTATTCCACCATCACCACCTCATCACAGGACAAACTTTCTTCCTGCTTCAATTAGTCCCACAGACCCCGGCTTTTGGGATCAAGTATTTCACTGTCTGAAGAGCCTCATCCTGAGTTCTGCTAGAACATGAAGAGATATTGAGAGTAGTTTTACAGAGAGATATTTATGGGCATCTTTGTGTAATTGTTCTCCTGGGGAGGAGGAATCCAACCCATCTTGCGGGGAGGGGTGAATTTTATTCCTGCAAGGCAAAGATGATTGGAAATATGATTTCCATCCCTGCTAATCACATCTCAGCAAATGAGGAAAGGGAAAAGAACAAGGAGGTGAAGGGCTCATCTCTTTCTCTCCACCACCACGATTCTGAATTCCCCAGAGGCGATAGTTTTAATGGAGAAGATTGTACTGTTCTGGGAACTTGACAGTGCTCTCACTTAGTGGGTAAACCTTTCACCTCACTGGACCTGCTCATAAATTTCTCATCCTCTCTGACAGCCGAGTTCCTTCCCTCCCCGGCCATCATTCATGGGTGGATTTCATTGGTTGAGAACATAAGAGTTTTGCTGGGAAGCAACCAGTTCTCTCAGTGGACAATTAGATACCTCTGGGAAGCCCACAGTCTGGGCACGGAGGCAAAACCAATTCTCCTTTGCTTCCCAACAGCAAGGATGCCCATTGAATCCGGCCATGCCCAGGGCCTAGAGTCGCCGAGGCCAATATTATGGGACTCTCCTCCAGAAATCTGTCTACTCCCCTTTCAACCCAAACCAGCGGTGTCACTGCTTCCGGCAACCAGTTCCTTGAACTTTGTAGGAAAATTCTTTTGTCTGCCCTGAGGCTACTGTGAATTAATGTCATCCAACAACTATTGAGTTTAAAGTGGGAGAAAAACACGCATAATTTTTAAATTCCAGTCATGTTCACATTTACTGCTTTTTCCCCTTGAACAAAACATTTTCCTCATGGAAGAAGTAATCCAGCTTCCTGATCTTTTTGGTTGCCTTTCTCTAAACCCTTTTTCCATACCTATAATATAATTCGAAATGGAGAGATATACATAATGGGTTCATCACAAAGTGTCCACCCCACAAATTTGTATATGGATGTTATGCTGCTAGTCTTATTTCCAGTCCTTTTCCCAATAATCCACTGCAAGGAATTTGTCTTTTTCATAGCTGCCACACACCGGTTTTCTTTTCATTGAAGCCACCACTATCTCCCCAAGAACATCCATTCCTGCTTGGCCAGAGCCCATTCGAACCCTCTCAAACACGCTGGGGTGTTTTTGCCCCAGTGTGGGTCACCTTGCATCTACTTGCATGGAACCCATTTCCCATTTTGCTACCGGTTCATCTAGATTAGAGTTTTCACAGTCCATTTGAGTCATCATCATTCTAAACAATTTGGTCTCATCCAGCAGTTCACTGTTCAATCCCCCCATCGTGAAAACTGTCCATTTATTCCTACTCTGCTCACTGGTTCCTGTGGTTTTAGCAGTTACTAATCCATAACTATGCCTGTCGGCTTATGCCACAGTTGCTAAGTTTACTCAGGAGTCTTTGAAGAGGGAATTTGGAATGCCAAAGTAAATTTTACTGAAGTCCCGCATTAAAGGGTTCTGAGTAGACTTCACTAAACTTACTTACTAAGTCTACTTTGGAAGCGTAATCAAAGTATAGAATTTGTTCCACAAAAGCACTATATTAGGGATGTCTCTCATCCTCGTGATATGTCTCAGGCCACATCTTATTTTGTATGCATTGGAGCATCAGAAGCTGTACTATAGAAAGTCAGACCTTTAATTCATCCATTCCAGAATTATCAACACGGACTGACAATCACTCTCCAGGAATTTTTTCTAGTCCCACCTGGAGTTATCCGGGACCTTTTAAAATATTTTGTTGTATCTTTTCAAAAGATCTTGCTTTTCCTCTTTAAGCAAGTGCACAAAGGCGCGTACTGATATAAAAATAATTCGTATAAAAATAAACATTGCATTAATAATAGATGAGAAGAAGCAATACTAAAATGGACAAAACAATGTAGTTTCAAACAGCCAGTGGCTGGGAGTATAAACATGGTTTGAACTGCTATCTAAAAGTGGGGGGGGGGGCGGTGACAGACAAATGTTCCTGACATAGTGATTCCTAAACTAAGCTGGACACAAATTTGAGCCAAGAAATGTCTGGGCAGGCAGCTCTTTTAGCACGGTGAAGAAATTCTCAGATCAGTGTGTCTAACTAACATTTTGGCTGCCCTATTCTAGGCCACTGAACTTTATAAATAGTCAAGGGCAGCTACTGCATACAATACATCACTCGAATCTAACTTGGATTACGAAAACCTGAATTACTGCAGCATCTTTACATCTCTGGCCAGTTCGGAGAGCAACCGCTGTTGCATGTTTATAATCCACTCAGGCCATGTGCTCAGATATTCATAATGATCAGACGAATCCCTGTTTTTAAAAAATGAAGGGGTTCCTGCAAGATTGCCCTTTGTTGATCACCTGGCTTTCGTTTTTGCCCCTGCAACATCCTGCTTTTATCCGCAGTTCATCCTCAAGGATGGCCAATACTCTGCCTTCGAATCTGGCCGGGTCCCTTTCCCACCCGCACCCCCACTCCTAACTGGGATCCACAAGGACACTCCTGCCTCTGAAGCAGCTGCCCCGGAATGATTTGCTTGCACGTGGTCCTTGAGCAACCGCCGTGCCTCACCCCACCTGTCTTGCTCCCCTTTTGCAGCCAAACCTTTTCCAAAGGCCTCCTCCCCGGGCCACAGTCCCTCCAGCAGTTACGTGAAGAGCGCTTCGTCTTCATCCACAGGCTTCGACTACTGCCACGACGCCGAAGCCGCGCATATGGCCGCCACCGCCATCCTGAACCTCTCCACACGCTGCTGGGAAATGCCTGAGAATCTCAGCACCAAGCAGCAAGACCTTCCCAGCAAGGTGAGTGCGAGCCGAGCCGCCATGTTTGGGAGACTGGGGTGAAGCACTGGGGTGTCCTTATTTATTTGTCTTGTTTGTTTGTTTAAAACTTTTCTGTACCTTCCCATCACAGACCTCTCGGGACAGTTTACACCAGATTAATAAAATAGAATAAAAAACCGAAATATGAGAAACAGTATCCCGTGTTAAAATATAAAACCACTAAATAAAACAGGTTAACAATTAAAATATTGGGAGACTAAAAAGGGTTTCGCCTGACACCGAAAGGAAAGGCACGGGATTTTAGATGCCCACTTTAGAGTTTTCCATAGCTGGGGAGCCGTGAGAGTGACACATTCCAAGGAAGTCGGCTCCTGAAGCTTGGCCTGAACTGGTGAACTTAGCAAGCTTTATACCGATCAGATGTTCGAGATCAAAAGCTGCATATTTAAAGCACCTGCAAACCAACTTCCCTGTGGTGGCGCCTCACCTATGGAATGCGCTCCCTAGAGAGGTCCGCCTGGCGCCATCATTATATGTTTTTCGGCACTAGGTCAAGACCTGTTTATTCAATCAATATTTTAATATGTATTAATTGGATTTTATTGTTGGTATTTTATTGGATTTTCAGCCAGCGTGGAATAGTTAATTTATTTTATTCTGATTAATGTAAGCCATCCAGAGACGGAAGTAATGGACGGCATACAAATTTTATTTAAAAATAAACCTGGAAGTAAACATTTTGAAGCACCAGTGACATGTGCTCAGCATTGTGGTTCCCAAGATAGCCTCACACCTTATTCTAAACCAACTGAAGTTTCTGTACATTTTCATAGCCAGTACCATAAAGAATGCACAACAGTATTGGAACTTGAACTTTACTAAAACATGGGTAACTGTGGAAGTGTTGTATTATAACTTTCCGAAGTTGTGTTAATGGAATTCCCCCATGAAGATCAAGTATGTTGCTTGCTGATGTTCTTAGCCCTTCTTGGACAGCTTTTAGTCAACTTTGGTATGTCAGCTGCAGCTAGGGATAGACGGACTTCGATAAACATGTTGCATCTGGGTTTCACAGATGTTATTCATTTACTGACAGAATTGGATTTTCTGCAAATAGGTTGGTATATATTTGAACAAATTCACACTTCCAGAAATGCACAAATTCCCCCAAAATATACATTTTAACACTTTGATATGTTGTGGAGGGTGTACATTTTTGGTCAATAGTTTTGTTTTTGTGTGTTTATAAATAAATTTACATAAAATTACAGAAAGCAGAACAGTCTTTAAATCCATGGGATCCGTTAGTTCAGGAAAAGTGGATCCACTGCATAATCCACAGGTTGGGGCCATAGAAATCCCAACACATTGAATCTGTTACAGATTTCTCTCACACCTCTAGCTGTAGCCTCTATAAATGATGTTGACTTGAGGAGACACAAAGCTGGATTATATTTGCTTGACTTTAGATGCCAAATTTGGTTATAGCCTTTGAGCTTAAAAAAATCAATACTTTAATCCTTTTCTGTCAGTATCATAGTGATTTGAAACAAAACATGTTTGTAGTAAACGCAGGAGGTTAGTGTAATCAGATGTTCACCAAAAGATAAAGTATTCTTTGGAACAGGGTTTGTTTCAACTTTCCTCCTACCCCAAGGTGTGCGTGGGATGGTCCCTGACCGCCATGTCACAGGCCAAAGACCTCCTGTAGATACTTGGTATCCAGCTGCACAAGGTCATCCATGGACAACTGATACAGTGAACACCACATGGAAGTTCTGGCTGAACTGGCAGCTTCGTGTGAGCCTCGTGCAGTTGGTTAGTGTGATTTGCATTTGCACAGCGCTGTACAAGTTGTGGTTGTGCAAGTCAAGGGCCTCTCATGTGACAGTCCCACACAGAAGCACCAGTTCATCCAACACATGTCCCTATCAAGTTTTAAGATTCCTGCTTGCCAGGAGCGCCTGCAAGCAACTGCAGGGGGTCCACTCGGTATCTGAAGGAGATCCAAGGGGGAGCAAAATCCCACTGAAACCAGACCTCAGGTAGACCTGTCGCTTCCGGGTCAGCCAGCAATCCAGTCTGGGGGGGGGGGGGTGCACGCCACGCGATGCTGAGAAAAGAGGCCAAGTTTGCAGAAGCGGGGGTGGAAGCGGCTGCAGGCAGGCAGGCAGTCACATCTGCTGTGTCCAACCTTGCAGTCCATGGACATCGAGGTGGATGAGAACGGGACGCTGGACTTAAGCATGAACAAGCACCGCAAGCGTGAGAGCGCCTTCCCCAGCAGTAGCAGCTGCAGCAGTAGTCCCAGCATCAAATCCCCGGATGTGTCCCAGCGCCAAAACAGCAACAGTGCCACGAGCAGCACCATGACCTCACCCCAGTCGAGCCACACGTCCCGCCAGGATGAATGGGACGGCCCCATTGACTACACCAAACCAAATCGACAGCGGGAGGAGGAACCCGAGGAGGTAAACGGCGACAGGCGCGAGGGCCCCCGAACTGGGGGCGCAGTGGAAGAAATGCGGAAAAGCATGCCTCGTGCATGTGAGGCTGAACCAATGACCTCTCCCTTTTAGCTGTAGCCAGATAACCCCGAGATCTGGGGCATGATGGAGATATCCCTCCTTCTTTGAAAGCCAGCAGCCTGATAGCTTTTATGCTTGCTGGTGGCAGAGGACCAGCATTCCCGTAGCCAATCCGGGAAGGTTATGAACCTCTTGAGGGAAGTAGGCTGGTAGCCCCTCTTCTGCCCTTGTGATACATTTTGTAGGGAGCTAGTAATTGCTCTGCAAAGCTCTTGCTATGAATCCAATGGTATCCTATGTCATAAGAGGGCAAACGCCACCCTTGGCTGCATAGCCAGAAGCGTGTCTTCTAGATCGAGAGAGGTGTTACTGCCACTCTATACGACCCTGGTGCGCCCGCAACTGGAGTATTGTGCTCAGTTCTGGGATCCACATTACAGGAAGGATATAGCCTGGTTGGAATCAGTGCAGCGAAGGGCCACAAGGCTGGTGGCTGGATTGCAGGGAAAGCCGTATGAGGCGAGACCGAGGGAGCTGGGTCTTATCAGCCTGGCGGAGAGGAGACTCCGAGGCGATCTGTTGGTGACATATAGGTACGTAAAGTGGTGTCACACGGAGGTGGGTAGAGACCTGTTCTCCCCTGCAGAGGAGGGCAGAACGCAGTTCAATGGAGCCCAGCTCAAGGAACCAATGTTCATTTTGGATGCCAGGAAGCACTTCCTGACAGTCAGGACCCCAGAGTATGGAATGGGCTTCCATGGGAGGAGGCTGAAGCCGCATTGGTGAAGGCATTCAAGGATAGGCTGGTCATGCACATGGTAGGTAGGGGTCAGACTAGCTGGCTCGGGAGGCCCCTTCTGACGTGCTCTGTTTCCATGTGTCTCTGTGTCTGTGGTCTTAGAGACCACCTGGTGACGGGTGGAAGATCACTAACAGGTATTAAAGAATCGCCTGCGGTTTTTACAGCCTGCTACCAAAATGGTTCTGTGGACGGCTCTGCTTGTCCACCACTCCTACAGATCCTTTGCTCATCTCTTGCAGTCAGAGCCTGCAGTCCGTTCGTTCGCCTCTTCTGAAGCAGATGATCAGGAAATACCTGAAGAAACTTTTGAAGAAAGGAAGTATCCTGGGGAAATCACCTTAACCAACTTCAAACTTAAGTTCCTTTCCAAGGAGATCAAGAAAGAGCTTCTTACGTGAGTTTTGCCACTTGGGCTATTATCTGGGAGGGGTAAGAAGAAAGAAATGGTTTTGCTAAAGGGGCAAGGGGGAATTCATCAAGGAAAAATATTCAAGTGTGTTGATGTTTCAAACTGTGGGGGACTTATTTAATCCAAACACTTCAAAACGGGAGTTGTAGAGATGCTTAATACTTCAGCTATTCCTGATTTTGGAGATGAATTCTCATTCCCTATAGTCTCCTGAAGCTGTGTCATGATTAATGGAGGTGGGGGGGGGGGGAGAGAAAGAGAGAGAGAGAGAGAGAGCGCAACCAAAGCACCAGAATCTTAAAGTGGCTATAAAAGCCAGACTTTCTAATCCAGTGGTGGGGAAAATTCTTTTTTTCTAAACAGATCACGTTGCTTGGTTCTTTACAAGCACTCTGTTGTTTCCTTGGAACTTCGTTGCTGAAGTGCCCCTGTTTGGGAAGCATCCTTCACCCGGCACCATTGCTCTGGCCCTCCAAGTGCTACGGGGTAAAGAAAGCGGATAAACTGGGGACAGCAAAGGCTTCTGTGTACCTGCATGGTTGTGTGATTCACTAAGTAGTTCAAATTTTGAAATTCAGATGGTGACATGTAGGTTTTCCAAGTGAAACTGGAGAATACGTGTATTTCCCCACAATTGAATCTAGCTGTAATCTTGGATACTGGCACATGCCAAGTAAATCGCAGGGGGAAAGGGAGTCCTACCTCTACGTTTCACTGACCTTCATGAAAGTATTTGAAGGAGAGAAAAATAGTTGTAAGAGATTTTGTTCCCTCGAGTTTTAAATAGATAGCAAATGAGAAAATAAGACAGTTGCACCAATACTTGCAAACTTACACAATGCCATCATTTACAAGTATTCCCAGATGTGTGCATTAGTTTACAACCTAAAACTCAGTTTGAACTTGAAAATCTGGTATCTGACATTGACTCTGTCTCCAAAGTCTGCTCCTCAGACCCATCTGACCTGCGCCTGAGCCTACGATGTGCGATTTCACAGGGAAATGCATTTCCAAATTTGGTGACGGGTGAATGTGGGGGCCCCAAATAGACAGCAAAGTAGAGTAAACATTACCAAGTTCAATAGCAGTATCGTGAGTCCTAATGCTTCACAGAATTTTATCTTCTTTACAGAAATGATATGAGAGGCTATTTATTGTGTTGGTAGCCCAAGTAGTTTTCTTGGTACCTTTTGTGAAAGAATGGGTCGTGGCAGTGCTTTGCAGGCCAATCGTCCAACCAAATCCTTGACTGCCTGGGAACACAAACAAATTCGGGATCCTGTCGGCACTCCTGTCAGGATTTTTAGGACTTGCCTGAAATGTCCTTGCCCCTGACCCCCAGCGCTGCGTTAATAGTCTTCCCGGGACGAAACAAATCCCAGAAATGGCTGAAACAGATGCACACATGAGAACATTCTGCCTGCTGGCCAGGGTACAAGCGGCCAAGCGGAAGCGGCACTGCCAGAATGTTCCGTCCTCCTTTTAAAGTGTATTGAACAAATGACCAAACTAGTCATTTGGTTAAACGCGCTGCAAACCATGTCTCAAATCAACGTGGTTGTCTTTAAATCAGCAGCTGCAGAGGAGGTCAATTTTCACTGGGCCCACACTGGGCAGGAAGGAGAGTGTAGCCCTCTCTTTTCAGATCTGTTTGGGCTGAACTAAAATCCCCCAAGCGATTTGCCCTAGAGGAAAACTCCCTTTGTTCCAATAGCAGGGGTGGGGTGGGGATTCCCATTGTGCAGATTTTGGGTCCACACACCCCTGCCCGCTATTCATTTTTAAAAGGAGCAGCTATAGTTGGTAATAACATTTACCATGCACCAAGAGCTGGGAGAACGCCGCTCTTCTGCACTGCACTAGTTCCCTCTCAAGGAGGCAATTCACATCTCTGAATCCACATGCTCCTTATTAAAGATAGCCTCCTTACACGAAGAGGACTATCATGGCTGGGGAAAGGGCCCTTTGAATCCTCTGATATAACTGAATCTTATAGTACTCATGAGGCTAGAACGTGTGGTCCTGAGCAGTGCCTGGATGGAAGGTCACCCATAACCCCCTGAAAGTTCCCAGAAGGAGCAATCCTCTGGCCCTGAACTGACTGAGGATATTCTGGATTCTCATCTCTGAGGTTAGAGACATCACTCCAAAGCTTCAGGGAAGGGAATCAGAGCTTTCTGATGCCAGCTGTCTCTCTGAGATCAGAAACACAATGTCAGAGGCAGCCGGGAGCGGGCATTTCAGTGGGAAGGGAGAGGAGACTGAAGAGCTCAAGATACACGTGACCATGAGACTCCCTCTCCTCCATTCTGAAATGGTGAAAAACCATTTTTCTGGCCAAAATGCAGCACACAAGGATCAAGCTGGCTTGCACTGTTCTTCCTGCCCTGCACAAGATGCTCATAAGCCTCAAAGTCCAGGGACCTGGGAGCACCAAGAGTGCAACCCTAAGTGAATTACACAATTTAATATAATAACAGCAAAATGCTGATTTGTGGGCCCATGAATGGAGGACAAGATGTAGGTGTATAGAAACATATCTCACCACTAAGACATCTCGATTTCTCCTTATGTCAAAGAAGTAACCTGTTCGTTAGCCAATGTGTAACAAGGACACCAACGTGTAACAATAAAACACACATTTTAAAACTCGGTGAGAAAATAGATGTTTCTATTTTCACCAGTATTGCTATATCGTGAAATGGGGAGTCGTCTTCTTTTAATCCCATTTTAGTAACCGTATGAGCCAGGGTGGGGATTGAATTTGGGGTTGTCTTAAGTGTGATGATGTGAGTCCTTCACATTCGAGGCTCTCCTCGCAGCCTGCGGAGCTGGAGGAAGGTCCTAGGGCTGGAGAGGACTTGGTCGATGGAGTCTTGTGTTGGGTCTAGGAAAGTCAGTGCCTCAACTCGTGATGGCTACTGAATATGTTACCTTCTGTGTCAGAAGCAGTATATCTCTGAGCACACCTGGTGGAGAACAGGAGCAGAAGCGCTGTTAACTGTACTTGCATCTTCCTTGCGGGCTTCTGGTTGGCCACTGTGCAGGCAGAATGTTGGACCAGGTAGGCCTTTGATCCACTCCAGGATAGCTCCTCTTGCGTTCTTACGATTGTGAGTTAGGAAGAGGAATGTGCCAACCAGCAATCCCTGAGCCATTACCTGAAGACACCACTTTTGTGTACATCTGACCCTTGAGAAGGATGGCTTTCTTGAATCGGCATGGACCTTCTTACCGTACCACACCATGTAACAGGAAAGGATGCGTCTCCTACCTCCCTTGGGAAACTCACCAGGTTCCTAGAGAAACCCCCAGTTGCTAGTTTGGCTTCTCAAAGGGGCCTCCCAGTGCAAAGGTGGTCCTCATTGCACCCCAAGAAATCAGACGAGTAGGGATGTCCACACACATGGTGATCCTTAGGGATGCACAGAGTGATGCGCCGGACAGGAGCAAAGGATAAAGCTAAGTGAAGAGCTCATCTGCCAGGAGTCCGTGGCTCTTCCTGTCCCCCCATAAATAGTTCTGGCCAGAGGTGCCATGTGCTCTGCCTGTGCACTTCTCAACTCTTTGGTAGGAGTACCTTACTACAGCTGCACAGAGTCCGCTCCAATACGCTGTGGTATTTTGGGGAATTTTAAGTAATGAATAGCTGCTAACCCAAATGCTGCCACCAGATAATCTATGGCAGGTAGGTAGCCCAAAGCCAGTGCTAGGGCCTGTGAGGGCCCTTAGAGCCCCACGAGGCAATTTGGCCATCACACCCACTTTTTCATACTCTCTTGCATCTCCCCCGCCTGCTCTGGACCATCTTTCCTCCTCCATTGCTTAACTCCTGCTCTTGAATCCTTGCATGGCTGAGAAGCTGGTCTAACTGGTCTAATACCTCAGGGGACTTGACAATGGATGTCTGCATAATTACAGCCCACCTCTCGCTTTGCTCACCGCTTTTTTCATGGAAGTGGTGGGACCACTAGAGAGGCTCGTCTCTTTCGCACCGTCCGAGTGCTAAGGATATCGGCTATGTTTGCAATCTCATCATAGCCACGGTCTCATCCTGCGTGCTGTGGGAAGCCGCAGTGTCTCAGTCTCAAGATACCCACAGACACACGCAGATCCTAGCAATAATATGGGCCTGTCTTACATGCTGTTGTGAAAGCCTCAGGTGAGGTACAAGGAGCACTTTGAGGATGCCCAGGTGTGGCAGGAAGGCTGCGCAACTGCCAAACCGGGTCCTCCAAAAGGCCGAGAGCCAAGCTTTCAGGCATAGAGCATGGATGTGGTTATTGACGTGAGCCGCCCCGAGGCTTCTGCGAATGGGGTGGCAAAGAAGCTTCCTAAATAAATAAATAAAATAGAGCAGTTCTGTCGATAAAATGCTCTTTGGAAAGAAAAGGCCAGAAATGTGAAGTCAGGCAAGATGAGATACTAGCGATCCATTCGCAGAACTCTCATCTCTCCCATTTCTTGTAAAAAGCGGCTCTGAGCAAAGCTTATTCTTGTGAGTCCCATAAACTTGTGGCAAAGGACTGGGATGCTGCCTTTTGCCCTGTTTGGAAGGGTACACGTCAGCTCTCTCAGATAGTTCAAACGTGACAACACACACTCAAGGGCTGAGTGTGAATTGTCATCGAACCATGGGTTGTTGTTGAAACGTGCATTGTCATGACCTCTAAACTCAGCCAAGATAGCTAACTATGGTGAGCAACCCACAACTTACAGCCCAACAGCAATATATGGGGTTCCTTTCATGGGTGTTCGTAGTTAACAAGTTATGGCTTGTCAGTGCAGCTGCATTCAAAGAACACACAAGAACCTGGGGCTCAACAACAGCCACACTCGAGCCTGGATGGCCACATGTTCTCTGAATCCAAAGCAACGTTAAAAGCTGATGGTTCTCATCAGGCAAACAATGAGAAGACGGGGGTTAAACCACATCTCTCTGCGTACCACAGTCCTTATCTGATTCATGAAGTCCCACAGCTGCTTTTTACAAAAATTCAAGAAGCTGGGAGACCCAGCCATGGATCTCCAATATCTCATATAGTCTGGCCTCAGGTAGCTGCCCCTTTTCTTTCCAAAGGGCAATCTATTGACGGAATTGCCCTATGCTGGCAGTATTGCAAACCTCCTAGGAGAACCCCCTGTGTTTGTGAGGCTTGCAGAGAGAGATATTCTCTGGGAGGTCTTTTCTACAATCCAAGTCAGATTTTTCTGAGGAGGAGGATGAAAGTTTGTTTCCCAGGAACTCTTTGGAGGCAGCTCCCTCCATCCAATTTGCTTGGTTTTGACAGGTGTGTGGCAGGGATACAATTGAGAAACATCGAAACAGAGCAAGTCAGAAGGGGTCTCCCGGGACATCTAGTCTGACCCCCGGCTCCAGCCGGCTCCGCTCACGATATGCCCACCATGTGCCTGTGCATTTAGGCAGGTTTGGGGGACAACCTTTGATTCTTCACTACCCTCCCCCATTGTTTCAGACTGTAATAGTGTGTAAATATTATTCAGGGATGAGGAACTAGTTTGGGGAGGGGGCAGATGACCTCTGACATCCCCCCAGACAAAATAACACCTTCCATCCACCTAAAGAATCTTGGGCACAGTGTCCTTGCCGGCCTCGATCTTTCTCCCACCTGTGGCAACACAAGGCAGAGGAAGCTAGCAGGAATCCCCAGTTTTACATTGAATCTTTCATCCAAGATAATTTGGATGAAAGATCAGGGTATGGGCAAGGGGAGTTCCACCCGTATTTTTGAGCTCAGGATGGCTCCGCAGGCCAGAAGTTCCCCATCCCTGATTAAGGCCAAAGTAGACTTGATGGTTACAGAAAATTTGTTCCACTATTTATTTCCTATAAACCTGAACATTTTTGGTGATTTGAAGAGTATTATGGGCAGATGGGGACTGCAGGTGGCGCAGTGGTTTAAACCGCTGTGCTGCTGGGCTGGTTGATCGAAAGGTCGCCGGTTCGAATCTGCACAACGGGGTGAGTTCCCGCTGCTCCGTCCCAGCTCCTGCCAACCTTGCAGTTCGAAATGCAAGGAGATAAAAAGGTACCACTTTGGTGGGCAGGTAACAGCGTTCCGTGCACGTCGTTTTTAGTCATGCCGGCCACATGACCACGGAGACTGTCTGTGGACAAGCGCTGGCTCCCTCGGCCAGGAAACGGAGATGAGCACCGCCCCCTAGAGTCAGGCACGGCTGGACTTCACGTCAAGGGGAAACCTTTACCTATGGGCAGATGGGAAATGGGAAGTTGAACCTATTCCCTAATCACTCAATTTAATATGCTCCCCCCCCCCCACACACACACACCCTTGGTGAGATTTCAGGCTGAGAGCTAACTCCAAGGAAAGGGACACACACACACCCCAAAAAAGGAAAAACAAAGGAGAATGAAAGTAGTAATGTCAGTCTTGGGTAGGAATGTGAATGCACAGGATGGTTAAGCTTCTGGACATGAATGCATGGCCAGATACTGTGTCAAACTTTTTGCTCATCTAACCTGGACCTCTGACATAAATTTTCCCAGTCCTCTGAGTGGGGATGTGGGAAGTGAGCTCAATACCTTCTACAAGCAAAGCAGATATTTCCCCACTGATCTGCAACACACCCTTTTCTCAGTCACGCCCAATCAACCCGTTCTTCCATCTTGTAAGAAACTGGCAGGATGAGACTGGTTCCTGCCATTGTTACTCTAGAGTCACACTCTTTGTGAGTTGTGGTAAACAACTGAATTGTACTTGGTGTGTATGTGAAAGACACATATTCATTCTGCTTCAAAAAGACTGCACTTACCTGCATTTCGAAACTGGTCTGAAATCAAGTGAATATACCACTTATTTCTGCTGCCAGAGAAATGCTGGTCCACCCACCCAGCTCATGCACTTTGCTCTGAAATATCCATGCAATAAAAGGTACATGGAAACAAAAATCTTATCAGCCGCAAACAACATGAAGGTCTTATGTACCGGAACCAATAGAAATTGCCAGTTTTACTGCAGTGAACTCTTTAAAATTATAGTATTAATATTCTCTGTTTTTAGTTTTTACATTGTATTTTTTGATCCTGCAAGCCTTCTAAAGACTACTTTTGGGAACTGAAAGCCAGGATACAAATCATTTTATAAATAAATATTTTTGTACTTTGTGCACAATAAAGCTATTACTAATTTACAGATTCAGTGATTGTCTTAAAGGGTGTTGCTTTCTTTTTCGTTATTTGTAAATTTGGGGTGGGGGGATTATGCCTGCCTTTTTGCAAATTTGGAATTACAGGTTTGGCGGCACTTGGAGAATGCAGGAAAGAAAAGAAAAGAAAAGAAAAGAAAAAAGAAAAGAGGACTTATGGCAGTGTCTATAAGCCTTACTAGCAGAATAAATGCCTGAAACATTGATGTTTCAAGGCAGCGCAATCAAATGGATTGGCTTTGGATGACACTTGCTAATGGGCAGCATTTATACAAATTTAATACATAAATACATAAATAGACCTGCTATGCTCCATTGGTTATGGAGCCATGGAGCTTGCGATCCTCCGTTCCAAGACACACGTATGGAGCTTGGCCTTGGAACGTTTAAAGTAGCCGGCACCAAGCCCTTGCACGTATTAAGCCGTGGCCATGCTAGTCATGTGTGGTGCAATACCCAGAGGCCACCACTAGGTGGAGCCTTGGGCTCGGGAGAGCTGCGCAGGTTCCTGAGCCCCCTTCAGGGGTCCCCTGAGGACTCGGAGTCCAGCTTGACGCAGGTTTTAGATCTGCTTGTACTTCCACGGCGATTCATGAACAAGCCCACCTCCTAGCATTTCTGTCAACCAAGTGGAGGAATGCTTCCCAACTTTACTCACAGGAAGCAGACTCTGTAATTCCCATCATGCGCTTAATCTGGTGCTGTGAATTCAGATCCTCCGGCCATCTTGAGTGTTTATTTTCATTTTTCAGAATCTCAATATTAATTACCTAATTACGGATATTCGTATACTGCTCTAGACACATTCCCAGAGAGGTTTCCGTGATGGGGAAGAAATTCAGCAACGCTGTTAAAAATAACAAATATAAATATAAACTATAACAAGGTAGAGCAGTTCTCGAAGCAATAGTAAAATGGCCAACGGAATAAAAAGACTAGAAAGCTTGGAAAATTGAAAAGGTCTTTGCCTGGCACGGAAAGGCAACAGTGTAGTACTTTTCTGGGTGAACAGGTGGACTTTTTGGGGGAAAGCACTGCAAAATTAGGGGGCCAGACAAAAGGACCCCACCTGGTAGCCAGTACCTCGCCTTTATGGAAGACCTTTACTGATGATCTTAAAGCACAGGTAGAAACATACGGGGGAAGGCATTACTTCAAGTCCTAAGCTATACAAATCATGCACACTGGAACGTTTATTGGGTTGCCTCTTAGAATGGTGCTCAGCCAATAATTGCCCACTTAATACGGGGGCTTCAGTGTACTGTATTTAACAAATATAGAGACAGACAGACATATAATATTGCTGATTAGATGCCAAATCCCTATCTTAGGAATAGGGCAATTTCTATGAAGGGGCTTCTGGAAATCCCTCCAGTAATTTTTTCTCCCAACTTCTGTGGAAGAAGGATTTTCTTCTCCCTTTTTATATTTTTTACATATGCATGAATCTTACTGGTTTCTTTATTTTTTTTGCCACTCACGTTTTTTTCCCCATAATTATTTTTGTTCAGTTGTCCTACCCCAGGCTGTGATGGCAGCGGACACATCACGGGGAATTATGCTTCTCACCGCAGGTTAGTTCACCTTACCTACCCTACTCTTTCAGGTTCTGACAGTCTCTTAAAGATCTCTTTAAAAATAGTGTGGATACTTGGTCCTATTCCCTCTTCCCCTTTCTTTTACCTCCCCTACTTTATTTTTTTTTTAGCTTACCCAAATATTCCATCTCTTCTTTTTCAGCCTTTCTGGTTGTCCTCTTGCTGACAAGAGCCTCAGAAATCTCATGGCTGCTCACTCTGCTGACCTCAAGTATGTTTGCACTGATTTAAATCTCTCTCTCTCCTTTTTGCTACCAATCTGGCTTCTTCCTTCTTCTTCTTTTCCTCTGCACTTTTCCTTTTAGAAAAAGCCAATCAAAACCTGCCTGTCAATCAAATTTTGACTGAACTTGTGCACCAAATGGGCTCTATTGGGTTGGGAGAGAAACGCTGAAGAATATTTGGCTGGTAGGAAAAATTGTCTTGAAATTTCCAGACCGATCCCTTGGCATTCCAGGCAGATTCTTATTGGCAATCATGAAGATATGCTATTCCCGTTTTCCTCCCTCTTCTCTCTGTGATCTTCTAGAGATTGTGACACTGACAATAGTTTCTTCAGATAAAAAAAGCAGCACCTTTTTTGTTAGCTGGGTGGATGACCTATCTGCCACTGGCTGAGAAAACAGTAGAGGGGGATTTGCCTTCGAGCCCTCTAACAGGGGACCTCGCCTCACCCTCTCTTGCCTGAGGAACAGCTCTGTGAGCCCTGAAAGCTTGCGTCAGTTCTCCCAAATGACATGGCACTGTTTTTTTTGTCATGTTAACAAAAAAGTAATTACCGCTCGAACCTTCCCTACACGTTATACAAAGTCACTATCCTGCTGAATCAGGTTAATTGCACTTGTAATGTGTATTAACTTTTAGGCAGAGTTCCATTGCAGAAGAATTTTAATGAGTATTTGAAAGCAAGAGAGAGAATAAGAAATCATTCCTTGTTAAAGGATGGCTCTAGCAGGCTCCAGGAAGCCCATAAAATCAGACATTTGGTAGTACTTCTATCAGTAGCGATTTTCACCTTCACATGAACAGTTGCTTTACGTATGTCTAAGCGGGAGTCACTTAACACGGCTACTTGGGGGCTTATTTTCCATCCATTTTGACAGTTGTTGTTCTTCAGCCTGATATGAATATCCATCTGGGTGAAGCAGCTATCCAGCCCTTCTGCCACGAGTTTCGCTCATGATCGATTATTCCATCAGAAATTATCCTTATAATATATTAGCCCTGGCATAATAAATTACAATTTGGGCTGGTGTTGGAGTGGTTGAAGGACTTATACCCCCTTAATATTCAATCTAGGCAAGCATGGAGAACAGAGTCAGCATGGATGGAGAATGGATCTAAAAAGTGCACATGTGAATCAGTTCCCAGACAAGAGTTCAGGTGAAAATGACCAGAAGCGCAGAACAAAGAGGAGCATCTATGCTCAGTCTACTACAGAGGATGAATGCTTCCTCTGGAAACAAAGCAGAGGAGAGCTATGGTAAATATTCATCCACCCTAATCCTAACCAGGCTTACTTGAAAGTAAGTACCATTTGGTGGGATTGGCTTCCAGGCAACTCTTCTGGGAATGCAACCTTCAAAATAGACTTCTCTTTGAGGAAAGATGATGTATACTTTCAATTTACTCCTAAAGTATGTTGGGATATTGCAGAAATGAGGGCCCCACTCCTGAACGATCCCCAAAAGTATACATGAATACCCATTTCATGATCGTGATCAATGTGTAACGCGCAAGAGGAGCTTTGCCGCAGGCCAGAGCGTGCCAAATTACTGCTCACTTTTGAGCACGTCCCAGTGTTGTTTTCCTGTTCACAAGAGCAGCATTTCACACACTGTGTACATTTCATTTCCCCAGAAAGGTAAGTTCTTTCCAGACGGGTGGATTTCTCCTCTTTTTGACCCAGTGGTGTTCCACACAGTATTCAATAGCACTGAGGGGGAAATGAAGTATATCACAATTCTGTGCACATCAGAGTTCATTCATAAAGGCTCCGATTGTTCCATAACTCTCCCCATCCCTAATGCTCATAATTGCAACATGATGTGGTGACTTGTATGTGTGAACGTGCCATCAGATACCATAAACGGAACTTTCATCTTCAGCACAAACACAATATTTTCCAGTGATGCCGGTTCCCTCGTTCAGCTAAGAGTCATGGAAGGTTAATCGGAAGTTGTGAGAAATCAAGTGATGTACTTGCATGGGGTAAATTGGTCCTAACACAAATCAAGCCCCAGGAGCTGCCAAGTGTCTTAATGAGGCGTTAATTACTCTAGAAGATTTGTGAACAGTTTCTAGAGAAGCCTTAACGGCTGTTAAAGAACTGCAACTTTAAGGAGTTAGTGTAAGGATCACGGGTAAATGGAGCAGTTCCAATTTGAGGGCCCAAATTACTATTACCCTCAAGCCTCACCCTGTCCTGAAGATTCTGGATGCGATAACATATCAGCTTTAGAGGGGTAAATATTTTATGATGTTTCTAGAGATCAAGTCCCAGAATAATTAGCCAGGTGTCATCTGCTCCTCTTCCACTTGCAGCCTTGTGAGAAATATTTTCAGTGCACCGTTTTTCCTGCTAAAATATTCGTGTATTAAGGAAAGTGAGGCTAGTGTCCTGACACGACTGTTCTCATTACAAAGCTGAAAGTGAGGGGTGAGGGGGAGGTGTTTGGATAAAATAAGAGCAGACCTGAAACTGAACTGCACTAAACTCAATTTCCCACCCTTCCTTGGAGGATGGGAAAGATTTAGTATTTTTTTCTTGAGTTCAATACAGAGTTCGTTGCAATGCATTTTCCTGTCCTTAGAGGTATGACCTGATTCCGGGGCTGTCACCTTGCCTCTTTTACTTGCATCAGAAGCAAAGGAAGGGTTCCTAAAATCTAAAGGATCTGGCCACACTACTAGAAGCTAAACCTGATGACATTCTTGGTTAAAAGGAATCATCTTCCTCATCATCTTCAGCCTGGGAACCTCGGATGTTATCTCTATATATAGAAGAATAGACTTTGGTCTCACCTGTTGACTCACTGATGTCAATGCTATTTCTGCAACAGAGAGAAAGCTAAAATTGGGCACCATCAGTCAGACCTTGATTTTTGCAAAACGCAGAGCAGGGCATCTGACTCAGAACATCCATCAGCCCCCCAGGACAGAGGAAGCCAAGACTGCAGCCCAAAACAAAGGAAATACAGCAGATCTGCAAACAGAGCTCCCAGTGTTTCTATCTTTAGGTGCCAGCGGCTGCAGCCTTCCTTCCCGCAGCTGAATTATCACATCCCCAGTCTAATATTTGTTGGCCTCAATGGAACATGCAGGTGTATTTCTTCCCAGCAAGGCATGTAACTTTTTTTTTTTTGAGGAGGGGGTGTTGTATCAAAGTGGAGAACTGGTGAGGAGGTTAACCTCCAGCAAACCCTAGTCATTGTGCCACCCCAGCCAAATTCAGGGGTCTGTGTGAAAAAAGAAAGATCAGAAAATCAAATCTCCACTCATCTGCTTTGATCTAGAGATCAATTTGATTCTAGAGCAGTTCAATATCTATCATTGTTTTAATTTCTTCAGAAGGAACCACAGCTCAGTGCTAGAACATATGGTCCTCATGCAGAAGGTCACAGGTTCTGTCTCTGGCACCTGCAAATACAAAAAGAATCCTGTCGTATGTGATAGAGAAGCCCTTTTTCCAGAGAACTTTTACCAGTCATAGATACTTGGCTAGAGAGATGAATCATTTGACCTACTAGAAGGCAGTCTTTACTTTCTTAAATGCAGCCTGTCAAATATGTGGTCCCAGGTTGTTCATAATGCACCAGCTAGGTCAGACACTTCAAACAGGCTGTAGAAGCCGGCGATTTATGGAACTGTGGCTGAGGCGCAGGCTTGGTGTTGATGCGTCATGATCAGGCAGAAAGGTTTGAGTGTAATCAAATCAAAGAGTGGAGCGAGTTCAGAGGTACTGCTGTTCAAGGCTAGTTGATCATGCAAAACAGAGCTGTTGTATTTATGGTGGCTTGATCCTTCACATCTAGCTATAAATCACGAGTGACAAAGCACCGGTATTCCCACCTCCAGCATGATTGTCAAGGGAAAAGGTTATAGAGTAATCGCTGGGAGAGCAGATTCTACTATCTGCTTCATTGGACGAGGGAGATGGACAGCGAAAACTCCAAATTTTCCTCTGAGGTCCTGTATTAAGATCTGGGAAGCGCAGAGGTAGCTGCAAATCCTAGGAAGTATTCGTGACATTCACATTTTTATATAAATTATAGCAGGGAAGCAAAAGGGACATGGGACAATAGCTGAATTCTTCATTCCAGCATAATTTCTCACCCTCATTTTCACCATGTTTGCCATTTCCATTCTATAGCACCATGAAGTTGAAGTGAAAAGGAATAGATATCCACTTCTGGTCCTGTGTTTTGTTCCTGTTTTCTTTTCTGTGGTGCTGGTTGATCCCTGGAAAGATGGGATTTTGCCTGGAAATCCACATGAGTTCTGCCACGTCTTCAACAAAATAGTCTCCAAGCATCTGTGATGCAACAGCTGATTGCAGAAACACAGATTAATTCATGCTTCCTTTTCTGTAGAATCTGAAGGCAACCATGGGGGTAGCCATGCTGAAGTCAGCTGGATCAAAGAGATTTGCTTCAGTGTTAAAATCTGTTTCCAGTTTCCATCCTCAGCTACGCCTTTTTCTCTTCTCAGGTGCCCAACTCCAGGCTGTGATGGCTCTGGCCACATAACTGGAAATTATGCATCGCATAGGAGGTGAGTTGGATGTGTGCTTGGGGCAGCAAGAGGAAAGTGAGGGATAAGGAGGTTGGAAGCGCTCTGGGAGAATAGGAGAACATGAGAGAGGCAAAAGGATTGATTGACTGATTGGTTATATTTATATCCTGCCATTTTTTCCCACAAGGAACCAAGGCAGCTTAAGTAATGCTGTCTTCTCCTCTCCCTGTTATCCTCACACCAACCCTGTGAAGTAGGCTAGGCTGAGTCAGTGGCCCAAAGACTAGTGTGGATACTTCAGCTGGTTCAGAATAGAGCTGTCAGGATGTTAACAGGGACCAGCGGGAATTCACATATAATGTCGGTCTTCTGCCATCTACACTGGCTTCCAGTTGAAGTCCAGGCCCAATTTAAGGTGCTGGTTTTGACCTATAAAGCCCTAAACGGCTTGGGTCCTGGATACCTGAAGGAGCGCCTCCTTCCTTATGCACCTGCCTGCCCCTTAAGATCTGGGGTGGAAGTCCTTCTTTGGGAGCCCTCCTTGAAGGAGATTAGGAGGGTGGCTACCTGGAGAAGGGAAAGGAAACAAACTCATATTGTTCTTTTAACAAATATGTAAACCGTTTAACAAATTGTAAACTGTTCTGAGAGCCGTTTGGCTGGTGCAAACAGTATATAAAAGTTCTGATAAATGAACAAACAAATACGGGTGCAATCCTATGCAAGTTTAGAAAGAAAAAAGTCCTACAAATCAGTGTCCCCCATCCAGCATGGCTAACTGGGCAATGCTTGGAATTATAGGATTTTTTCCCATTTAAACATGTGTGGGATGTTATCATAAAATTTGTCTCCAAAAGCCAACTTGAGAATTTCTGATTAGTCCCATCCTAACACACTTTTCCCCACAATTTTCTATTTCCCACTATTGTTGGGGGGCTTGTGGGAATGGATGCTCTGAGGCTTGTACAGGGGGGAGGCCTCTGAGATCAGTTTTTAAAAGTAGAGAAAGGGGAACATGATGAGGAGAGAATAGGGATTACTGGGTGGAGGAATACAACAAAGAGAACCATCACAATGTAATGCCAGAAATATTTCAGAAAAGATTACTATCCCCAGCTAAGTTGTTCTCATTTTTTTCATTTTTTCTTATGGTATCTGGGCCCTGGGGGAGGATAGTCTATGTATTGAAATATGTATATACATGTGTATGTTGTGTATATACATGCACATTTTTGAAGCAATTTCCTTCCAATTCTATAGCTATTTCTACTCGCTTGTGCCACAATAGACAAATTGCAATGTATTCATAGAACTCGGCAACAAGTGAGCTCTACTTTCATCTCTTTAATCTGATTTTTTTTTAAATTCCCAGAATCAGATTAGAAGCTTTCTCTTCAACAGAATAAAAGACAAAAGGGTCAGGTTTTAGCTGACGCAAAATTCCTGTTAATAACACCACCTATTTATGAGTTCTATTATCTTTTTCAAACATTAATGGGGACCTCACAGGCTCCCATCTGAACAGTTCCATTAAGAGCTGCCGTCTGCTGGCAAATATCTTCTTATCTAGACACTATTAATTGCAAACCATCTCCCCCTCAAAGCAAATGGCTGCTGCTTCTTTTTCATTTTTTCCTAATTTTCACCAACACTTCTTTCCCTTGTGAGGTGTGAAAGCAGAATAATCAAGATCAAAGCACAGGCAAGCAAAGCAAAGGGAGAAATGGCAGGGAAGTTCAGTAAGGCGGAAGGAGCTTTTATAGAAAGCTGCTGTTGCGCCGTGGAGAAGGTGCAAAGGTTCCATTTACAACTCGGTCATGGACTTACTAGGTAGCCCGAAACTCTCACGGTCTCAGCCGTGCCACCTGCAACACTGAAACGAGATACTGGATTCTGGAACCATCTTACAGGGTCCTGGCAATTATTACTGAGATAACCTTGCCTAAAACACTCCGAATACTCAAAGAAAGGCACCAAGGTTGGTTGTGGTGACTCAGCACCTTACATGGTTGTGGTGACTCAGCACCTGCAGGCGCCCCCATTCAAGAGTGCAAGCGCTCATTTGAGCTGCTTAGTGGCTTATCAATGTGAAATAAATAAAATAATAATAAAAATAATGCCGGGTACAGCAGTGCCCACTGGTAGTTGCTACCACCGAGAGTAAAATATATCCAGTCTCCTCTCTGCACACGCACCACCCCCAAGCATTATCAAGCCCTTGGGGACACCTGACTAAGGATCCCACGGAGGTCCTTTGTGCTGGGCTGCTTTGGAACTCACCTGTGTCCTTAGGGGAGCACAGGTAGGTTGCAGGTCACATGCAGCATCTGCCTGCAGCTTGAGTGTTGAAACTACATTGCATGATCCTCTCGCGAGGCTGCTCACTTTCCTTCTAAGCCATTATCTGCATTTTGCTTAAAACAGGCTGAAAGATTTGCTAAGGGTTTGGAAGGGACTTGCAGAGGTGGGGAAAGGGTTTGTCAGATTCTGGGCACAAAGCCGTAACTAACTAAAGCAGCAAAATAGTGCAAAGGGCAAACGAAAGAGGAAAACATGGTCTGGCTTGCACAGCCCTGGACTAAGTTGTCAACCTGGCTCCTTGGAGACCTGCTTTGTCTGTGGCAAAGTCCTCCTGGTGCTTCCACCAAGCTTCCGTCCTTTGGTTGAGGAAGACCCATGGGCACCTGTACCAGAGGAACCTTGGGGAATCTCTCCTGGGCCTGTCTCAACCTCCCTTACATCTGGGGTGATGCTCCTGGCACCTGTGCTAGAAGAGAATAACCCACAATTCTCCCTGGAGAAGAAAGAGGGAGGCAAATGTGTGAAGTGAAAACTAAAGGCATCTTAAGATGTAACGAGCAGGGAGGGGGCAAACTTTGAAAGTGAGAATTGCCACTTGGAACGAGACGTGTACGACGCAACAAGTAACGTCAGGTTTTACATGAAGCGGGAATGACATGGTCACAACATTGATTCAGCGGAGTGCTGAATTAGCTGTCAGGGTTTGTACCACACAACAGACCATGGGGGGTGACAAACCACAGTGGATTGCCGTGTTGTGCGAACCTGGACAGATTTCTGGACAAATGTTTAACACAAGCCTCCCCCAGGGTTGGTGCTGTGCAAGAATGGAGTGCTCTTGATTCTGTGCACCTGAAGAATGCAAAATATATCGGAATAAATATATTTATGTGGACTGGAAGTTGAGCAAATTCCCATTATTCTAAATGAAAAGACAGAGGTTGCAGTGCAAGTGCAGGTGCTGGCCATACCAAAAAGGAAGAAGTGGCAGGGCCCAATAATCTTTTGAATACAGCAAGGAGAGGGAAAGATTCGGAGATTATGCCAAAGAATGAACATCTCCGATGCAAAATGGAGATAAGCAGGAAGGAGGAGGGCTTAGATGGGAAGATTATGAGCTTTTTAGATCTGCCAGCCTCAGACAGTTGGGGGCTTTCAATTCTGATATTTGACATCCACACTTGGCTCTGTTGAAAAAGAGCAGAAAATTCCTTGGATGAGGCCAAGAAAATGTGAGCTGAATCAACTGTGGAGACAGTTTGCCTGAAGGGTGTTATTTTCTTTTGGTACCCTATTACACTCTCCAACTTTATCTCATCCCTCGCACTTTATCTAACCTCAATCATCTTTTCCTACCCTGAGTGCTTCAGACAGGGCAAGCTCAAAGACAAGTAGGGTAAGAGGTCAACTCGAGACCCTGGATGATGTCCTGACAGACCAGATTCTAAGGATATCTCGGGGGAGAGACACAGCAATTATGGGAGATTTCAATCTCCCGGATATTGGTTGGGAGACTCACTCGGCGGTGACAGCCAGGTCACATCGCTTCCTAGAAGCTATAGAGGGAGGGTTTTTTACTCAGAGGGTCCGAGAGGCGACGAGGGGGGAAAACATCCTTGACTTGGTCTTGACCAACAGGGAGGAGCTGATAGATGAAGTACAGATTAGGGGAGCTCTGGATGCGAGTGATCACTCCATCCTTTGCTTTGAGATCAGGGGACTGGGGACGTGCAGCAGGTCGAGCATTAGAAGCTGGGACTTCAAGAGGGCCAACTTTGGCCAACTGAAGGCCAGACTGGGGAAAGTCTCCTGGGATAGGTTACGGGAAGGTAAGCGAGTTGAGGAGGGGTGGATGGCACTCAAAAGGGAGGTTTTGGAGGTGCAAGCCTTGACGATACCCCTAGTCAGTAAGGTGGGGAGGTGGAGGAGAGTGCTGCCATGAATGTGAAAGGAGGTGGTTAGAGGGATTAGACGAAAGAGGAACCTCCGTAGGAAATGGGTACTGGGGCAAATAGACCAAAGGGTATACCAGGAGGAGGAGGCCCGTTGCAAAAGGATTCCTCACAAGGCTAAGGCTGATTATGAGCTGAGACTTTCCAAGAATATCAAGTGCAACAAAAAGGGCTTCTTTCAGCATGTAAATAGGAAGAGGCAGGGGAGACAAGTGGTGGGACCACTAAATAAGGAGGAAGGAGATCCAGTGACTGATATGAGGGAACAGGCACAGATGCTAAATGACTATTTTGCCTCTGTGTTCTCCCCAAAGCAGGACGGGGGATATCCACATAGGAGATTAGATGAGGCCGGGGACTTAGGGGCACAGATTAGAGTCACTTGCCCTTGAAGTTGAGGGGCTCCTCAGGGCATTGGACATTACAAAGGCGCCAGGCCCTGACGGGTTACACGTGAGAGTACTTATGGAGGCCTGCAGGCCTCCATTTTTGAGGACTCATGGAGAACGGGTGAAGTTCCAGAGGACTGGAGGGTGGCATCAGTGGTCCCAATTTTCAAAAAGGGTAGTAGAAAGGACATGGGGAATCACAGACCGGTTAGCCTTATGTCCATTGCAGGAAAAACAATGGAAGGGCTCATAATAGAGAGAGATCTAGTGATGCTAGATAGGGAAGGGAGGCTGACAGCCACACAACACGGCTTCTGCAAAAACAGGTCCTGCCAGACAATTGTGGAATTCTATGACAAGGTTTCGAGATGGCTAGATGGAGGGGATGCAGTGGATGTGGTTTACCTGGATTTCAGCAAGGCCTTTGGCAAAGTGCCCCATGATATCCTGGTGGAGAAACTGAGGAGTTTTGGGATACACCAAAGCACTGTCCGATGGATTAGGGCATGGTTGACTGACCGAAAGCAGAGGGTAGCCATTAGTGGGGAATCGTTGGGATGGCGGCCAGTGACAAGCGGGGTCCCCCAGGGCTCTGTCCTGGGGCCGATCCTGTTCAATCTTTTCATCAGTGACATGGAAGAAGGGGTGACCTGTCTGCTGATCAAATTCACAGATGATACTAAAACTGGGGCAGTGGCCACAACTGAGGAGCAGGTACTCCAGATCCAAAAGGATCTGGACAGACTATGGAAGTGGGCAGGAGACAACAGGATGGTGTTCAATGTGGATAAGTGCAAGGACTTGCACTTGGGGCATAGGAATAGGTGTCATAAGTACAGGTTAGAGGACAAGTGGCTGGAGAGCAGCACTTGTGAAAGGGACCTCGGGGTGTTGGTTGACTGCAGGTTAAACATGAGTCAGCAGTGTGATGTGCTGGTCAAGAGGGTGAATGCCACCCTTGGGTGCATAGCCAGAAGTATGGCTTGTAGATCAAGAGAGATATTACTTCCACTCTATATGACTCTGGTGCGCCCGCAACTGGAGTATTGTGCTCAGTTTTGGGCCCCTCATTACAGAAAGGATATAGCCAGGTTGGAGTCAGTGCAGCGTAGGGCCACAAGGTTGGTGGCTGGTTTGCAGGGGATGGGGTATGAGGCGAGACTGAGGGAACTGGTTCTCTTCAGCCTGGAGAAAAGGAGACTCAGAGGGAATATGTTGGCGACATACAGGTATGTGAGAGGGTGCCACACAGAGGTGGGTCGAGACCTGTTCTCCCCTGCAGAGGAAGGCAGGACACACTCCAACGGAGCAAAGCTCAGGGAGCCAAGGTTCCATTTGGATGCCAGGAAGCACTTCCTGACAGGACCCCGAGGGTGTGGAATGGGCTTCCACGAGAGGTGGTAGAGGCCCCATTGGTGAGGGTGTTCAAAGATAGGCTGGACATCCACATGGTAGGCATGTCATGAGCGGAGCCGGCTGGAGCCAGGGGTCAGACTAGATGGCCTAGGAGACCCCTTCTGACTCGCTCCGTTTCTATGTTTCTACACAAAAGTTTACATAAAGGTAGAGAAAGTGAATAGGGAGCCATTTTCCTCCTTCATGATACTAGAACCCAACAGACCATCCCATGATGAGATTAGTAGGAGATTCAGGACAGATAAAAGGAAAGAATTCTTCACACCATACGTTAAATTATGGAATCTGCTGCCATAAGAGGTTCAGTGCACACCAACTCGGGTGGCTTTAAAGAGAGGATTGGACAAATTCATGGTAGAGAAGGCCATCAATGGCCACTAGTCCTGATGGCTAGAGATACTCCTGGATCATCAACTTCCATATACCATTGCTGAGGAACATGTGACATGTTCACAACTCCTACTCGTCAACTTCCCCTGCTTTCTGGCTGACCACTCCAGGAACAGAATGGTGGGCCAGCTCATCCTTTGGCCTGATTCAGCATGGCTTTTCATAGATTCTATGAGAAAATAAGGCTCCTGAGATATGTTGAAAGGCTGAAAGTGTGATGTCCTTTCTTCTTTTTGAAAATGTAGTCTATCAGGCTGCCCTCGTGCCAAGAAAAGTGGAATCAAAATCACCCCCACAAAGGATGACAAGGAGGACCCAGAACTGATGAAGTAAGTAAGCAAACATTTCTGATCGGACCTCCTAAGCTATCTGATGGTGCATGTCTTATACGAAATGTGGATACGAAGAAACCGCTGTTATGGTTTATATAAATACAGCGCATCATTTTGTTTTCCTATATAAGGGCCCAGCCGTACTCCCTATTCAGCAGTGCCAAGATCAGACAAAAGCCAAGTCAGGATTGGATGTCCATCCAACGGGATCCCACCCAAACGATGTAGTCGGTTGGGCCACCATATGTGGAATGGTGATATTATTCCACTTGCTCTGAGCATGAACTCACCATATAGTTGTGCAGTGGGGTTACCTATTGCACTGAAATTTATTGGCACATTGAGTAAAATGTGTGTAATTCCTGAATGCATATTTACACCAGGAAAGTTCGTGTATTACTTGCTAGAGAGTGCTGTGATTTAGACATGATCAGCTTAACTCTCACAAATCTGACTGGTGACAGTGATTGGGAAAACGGCATGATACCAGCTTATATCAGCTCATGCTCAATACCCAGTGGGCAACAACAGCAAAAATTTTAATCATGGATCAAAATCCTCCACTACCAAAATTAAGCAGTGGAACTCACAGTCAGTGAAGCTTAGAGTGAAATTCTTAAACAGGTTTTGCCATGCAGGCTGCAAAGGTGAGTTAACTTGCTCCAGTTTCTGCCCATTTTTATGAAAGGTGAAATAACAAGATGGCATTTCCCTCTAGCCCTGAATGGAGACTTTGTTAATTTCATTTAAAACTATCTTACAAGAAGCCGTCTCCTTATTTCAGGAGCCTCAGGTGGCCTTTTGTTGCTGTTTTGCAATATGCAAATGTATTTAAATTTAATTGATGAATGAATTGGCTAAAAGACTGGGTAGGGCATTGATTTACCTAAATTGCAACATTGCTGAAGTACTTCCTTTCCGTGAAGGCCCAGAGGTAGAGGAGCTAACCTTGAGCTCCAGATCACAGTGTTTCCTGCCAGAGACTGATACTGATGCATCTGCTAGCCATGGTTCCACTTTGTCGACATGGCTCTATCTGCCAGAAACAAGCAAGATTTCTAAGACCCCAGTACAAAATGGAGAAACCATTGTGGCAGTTTAGCACAACCAGGTTGTGACCAGGCTGCTCTCTGGGACAGTAGCCAGTCAACCAGTTTGGTAACTATGCCACAAACTGAGTCCACAGTGTGAGATGGGAGTGCTCATTACACAACTTTTGTAGCCCAGTGACAGGCAAGTCTCCCTCTCCAGCTTGCCTTGCGATGTGCTGAGTTCTCCCAAGCCTTCCGGGAAAGTTCCCAAGGGAAAAACTTTCTGAACTTATCCCAAGAAGACTCAAAAAACTAAACCATGAGTTTTCCAAGCACCACCCCAGCCGCTTCCCCTTCCAGAGACCACTTATCCATGTAAAGTTTGGGGATGGGCAGCAAGGGAGACACAGAGGGGATGGCATGTCCCTTTTACCCCACAGGCAATGCTCAGAAGCATCCAGGCCTGTTAAGGAGGGACCTACAAAGCCCCTCTTGAAATCCTCCTTGTTCTTCCAGCAGTGAGTTGGCTACGGAAGGGTGGAAACTGGTTGGGAAGACTGCAGACAGAAGCTGGGCTGCTTGCAATGGGAGGTGGATTTGCAGACTGTGGGGAGTCCATATTCCAAACCCCCCCCCACCCACCCACACATTTCTGAGATTCAGCCCGTCACTCACACAGCATCCCCGCTTAATCGCTCTGGTTTTGCCTCCCCACTAGTAAGAGGCGGATCAGCAGTGGTGCGTTACTGGAGAAGCAGGAAAGAAGGTGGTTCCTGGCTCTGTCCCATGACTGGGCCCTGCTTCACCTGTGCACTTTAAGCATCATAATGCAGCTGGTCGGCCTTCCAGGCTGTGGGATGAAAAGGCATTTCAGACTTTTGCAGAGAAAGAAGTCAGGTGATGGGCGATGCCATGTGTGCATTCTGCCTCTCCTTATGCTCCTTGTTTTCCCCACTCCGGCCTTTTCTCCCATCTTGCTTTTCCACAACTCCAGGATTTGCCAGTGTTTCATTATGAGCAGAGAAAACAGCACGGTAAGGGTGTGAAAATTCTGCACATTTACGTGCCCGCTATAAACACCGATGCTGTAAGTGATTCAAAGGTCTTTGTAAGAACCAGATGACGTTGGCGCCCATCTGCTCTCCCTTCTATCCTCAGGAAGGAGAGCATTTGCATTAAATGAGCCATGTCACAATTAGCAGGAGTAAGCAGAGTTTATTAAAAATTGAGCAACCCCAGTTTTAAACCTACAGGAACAGAAAAAAAAACAAACAAACCTCCACTTTAGACTTTAATGCTCTAAATCGCTTGGGGAAATGGAACCGTGCAAAATCCATAATGTCATTTTACTGTCCGATGGCACAGAGAGAGAAAGAAGAATGGGAAGGGATCACACTGCCAAAGTTAAATGCCGTCTTGCGCTGCTTATAGCCCATTAGTGCAGTAACAGAGCTGTGCATCTCCTTCCTCTGCATTGACTTCCTCAGCGATACTTTCAGCAGGATCACAGGAGGATCGATACAGCTTGTAAATGCTTCCACATGTTACTTAGGGTTGCCAGCATTTGATTTAAAGAACGCTCCTCATGCTCAGATAGGCCAGAACACAAACAGGATGGATCAAGATTGTTCAGGCTAAGCCACAGACCGCCTGGCAGGCCAAGGATAGAGCAGAGAGACTTTTAGGTTGGGGTGAGGTTGGGCAAAACCTGGTGGATGGGGGCGGGGGGGGGATTAAAAGAACTGAGCTTATGCTGGGTGGGACCTGGCAGAATCTGGACCTTGCTGGCTTTTCGGTCAATCCCCCAAACTAGTTACCGGACAGAACATGTGTTAACTGGTCAGTCTAGCAAAATGTTGGGGGATTGGCAAACTTTGCATTACTAAGACACCTTTCTACCATAAAAACCTCATATGAAGCATATGTAGAGTCCTTGTAAAGAGAGACTGATGGGAAGTGTGGGGGGGGGAGGTGGGGAGTCCAAAACAGAAGCACATGTGCAAATATTAAAGCACCAACTGCTATTCAGAGTGCAGTGGTCCCTTCTGGTCTGGAGTACAAAGACCCACATTGAATCTTCCTTTATCTAATACTATATATTTATCTAATACTATATATAATCATAGGGCAAAGAAGCCTGAAAAGGAAAGGCCTTCTCAAGAAAGAATATTCTTGCCACCTTCTTGATCTTTCTGCTTCCATACCTTGTAAAGATTAATCACCAGCCCTTTTTATTCACCCAGTGATGTAGGTGGATACTATTCTCTCCCACCTGAGGATGGAGGGCTCAGGTGAAGAGACAGCATCCTGGTAATGATTTCACGGCTGTGGGCGGCATTACAGCATGTGCCAGGTGTGCCATTCCAGCCCTTCACCCCCATCACAACTTTCAAAATCCCCTTTCATTAGCCCAAACTATTTTTAGCCCAAACAGCAAATTGATTGTCCAAGTGTGTGCCTTTATCTAGCTAAAAAAGTACAATTTATAAACAAAGGAGATGTATCTCCAGGCTTGGAGGAAACCCAAGCCTACACCAATTTTTTTTTAAACCCTAAAATGGGTGGGTTGGAAGGAAGAACTGGAAAAGAAGCCATGGGGACTGTGTGTATTTAGTAGCCAGAGAACTTTTTGGGAGAGCAGGAGTGAGGACTAAAACAAAGGTTGGTGTAATACAATGGAGTATCCTGGAAGAGGGCTTGTCAGGCTGGCTGGCTGGAACCTGACAAGGGGTAGAACTGCAAGGTCCTTACTATCTGTAAATGAACTCTTATTATTATCATGTTACATTTATGTTCCACCTTTCTTCCCCTTGCAAGGAACTCGGTGCCTTACTGAGCTCCATTTTATCCAGAAAACAATCCATGAAGCAGGTTAGGCTGAGAGTTAGTGGCTGGCCCAAAGCCACCCAGTGGCCTTCATGGCTAAGTGGGGACTACAATCCTGATCTCCCGAGTCCCAGCCCTGCACTCCAACTTGTGTGGAAAACCCCCTTTATTGGGGCTACACCACGTAATGAGGGCAGGAAACATGCCCCAGGACCCCGAACCACCTGCCTCATCGGCTGCACACGTGGAAGAAACTAGGCTCTTTGAAATGAACGGAGCAACTGCAAGCAAGTTTTCCCCTCCATTATCGAACTCCTGTAGTCCTTGGGAAAGTAGTATTTTGTCTTCTCTAACAAGGTACACTCTCATGAAGGTCCCTGCAGGTTTACGTTTAAAGAGGCTCAACAGTAATTCCATTGCTCCATCTGTGTGCCAGAAAGCGACTTGGCTGCAGTCCGAGATCTGCCGGCTGCCACTGAGAAGAAACGAATGTCGTCCCCGGAGCCTTGTTGCTCTTTCCTCACGCCATTTACCATGCTGTTTACATCGAAGGGCGCGCTTTCTGCTCCTACCATGCAGCATCACATAGGCGATAAATTTCAATGATCTTCCACATATCACCTCAGCCTTCTGCCTTCCTCCGAAGAGGAAGAGGCCAGTTCAAGAGGGCATCCATTCAATTGGCCAGCCGCTGCCACCACTTCAATTAAACAGCAATAGTAAATTTTTAAAATGTTCGCACACACACGCACCACACATCCCAAGCCAGCTGTTCGCCACAATAAGGCTCTGGTTTATTTTTTACAATAAAATGTAATGAAAGTTAAATTAACAGTGTAAAATATGTAACGGCTTGGCTGTAAACGGCGCATACTAATCGCTGCCTTCCCCTTTCCTTCCTCCCCCAGTCCCTTTCTTTTTCTCCTGAGGTTTCAGTAATTTGCTTGCGATCATATAAACAGCGACACTGTTATGAATTTAGTGAGCATCCTGCTGGCAGCGATATAATAAGTGAATTGCGCCGCATTTGCAGATGATTAAAAACAGGATCAGCGTTTTTCAAATTATCTTGGAGGGGGAATGAAATAACGGTGGTGCGGCCCTAAACTGTCAGCTCCTCTGGTTTTTTTATGGAATAGAATAAAAATAATGATGATAACAATGAAACACAGAATGTGAATTTCAAGCACAGGCGGGCACTTGTTTTGACAGCCGTCTTTGACGCTCCTAATTACTGCCTTGCATAAAGGAGGGCTCCACTGTTTCTCCTTGACTCCTTTTTTTAAAAGCTCTGACTGGTAGCAAACTTTTACGTATGTTTATAATTGACATGTATATTTAAACAAAGGCAAACAATGGCAGAAACCTTAATTGTGAGGGCATTGTGAGAATCGGGTTGGCAGCTTATAATGGCAGAATTAGGATCAGGTATAGGGTGCAGGTGAGTCGGATGGAGCTGGAGAGGGTGAGAGCTGGGAAGATTCTGGAGGGTGATGGAGAGGTTCTGGAGAAATCTAGTATGTGATGGGGTGGACATTGGCAAGCCAGGGTGAGAAGTCTGTTGGACCAAGGACAGAGGATGGAGGAATTTGGTGGGTGAGGCTACAGGGCAGAGATGGAAAACATGTTGGACGGCAACTGCCCTGAGGCCTAGACAACATCGTGTCTGGAGCTGGGGTGGAATTGCATGGCCTGAGGATGGATTCTGCGTTCTATATAAGGTCTGAACAGAATCCTACACATATGCAGCTCTGTCCGCATAGGCCCCCTGCACGCATCTGGGGCCCCTGTTTTTTGCAGAATTTCTGTCTGAATGGAAGAACCTGTGTGCACAGAGACCATCTGAATATAGTTGTGCGGAAGTTAGTGGCAGGGACTCAGGCTGCAGTCACTCCATGTTGAACATATAGAATGCAGCCTATTCACTGGTGAAGATCGGAACAGGTTCGAGTGCCAGAGCCAAAGTCCTCCTTCAAGCAATCACAACCCACAGACGGTTTTCCTTGGAAATTTTTCTTTATTGCTCCCAAGCACAAATCACCCAGAATGGATCTCTGTGCATGTACAGAGCAGTTTTTTGAGCCCACTCTTAAGGTTTACCTCCAGCAACTTGCCTGGGCTCCATCCCCCTGGGAGGGCTTTCTGAAGGGGAGCACACCTCCTCTCCGTGTGCTGCTGATTCAGTTGGGCCTCCCACCTCTGTGGACACCTCCACAAGGACTCAAGAGCAGGTGGGCCTGGTCTGGGTCTGAGAACTCCTCATCCTCAGAGACCCCTCCCACTGGCTGTACGTCTTGATTGTTCCCAGAAACTGCCCGACTCGGTGAAACGTCTGGCCTTGAGATAATCGCCTCTGCCTCTTTTGTCTCAGCATCTTGACCAGCCCATCCACAATCTCACTGTAATTTGTTTCACGTTCTGATTCCAGATTTTCTGGGATGCAGCCAGCAGTCCGTGAGAACAATTGCCCAAGACCATCATCCTTCTTACTCCCAACATCAACTCTCCTCAGTTCCAGGATGAGGAAGAGCGCTTAAGATGCTTTTTTAAAAAACTATCAGGCATTTGAACTTTAACTTTGATTCATCTGAGCAGTCCCAGAGCTGATGTTATGGGATGTTGTTGCTTTGTTTCATTTTATGTACATGGATCCTGAGTTTTGTACTGGGATCCTTGAAGGACTCCTTCCATTCATGGAAATACTTGTGATCAGGGCTTTTTTTGTCATAGAACGCACCGGAACCGCGTTCCGGCACCTTTTTTCCAATGGATTTTACGAAGTGATTTTGAATCGCCTGTCAGGAGTAGCAGATCGGCAGCAAACATCATTAACATAGTGCCTGCGGGGTGCTGATAGTGAGCGAGTGCTTACTGCCAGCAGCTACCATTATGTTTATGTGTGTGTAGAGTGGCTGGCTTTACACTGAAAATCTTTTTTAGTGTAGAAGTGTGACCCCAAGATGTGAGTTCCGGCACCTTTTTTTTTTTTTTTAACAAAAAAAGCACCGCTTGTGATCCAGTGGAGAATCCCTCTGGTAAAACAGGAGAAGGAACTTTTGTAAGCGCTTCTCATCGTCCTCCACCTTCCATATTGGATTTTTGGGAGATGCATATAGTTGCAAGAGGAAGCAGCAAAGGTCTACTAACAGGATACGTTAGCAGGCAGGGATTCAGGAATCAGATACAAACATACATACATACATAGTTGTTGTTTGTTGTTGGTAGTCGCAAAGTCGCATCCGACCCATCGCGGCCCCATGGACAACATTCCTCCAGGCCTTCCTGTCCCCCACCATCCCCCAGAGTCCGCCTAAGCTCACACCAACTGCCTCAGTGACTCCATCTAGCCACTTCATCCTCTGCCGTCCCCTTCTTCTTTTGCCGTCAATTGTTCCCAGCATTAGGCTCTTCTCCGGGGAGTTCTTCCTTCTCATGAGGTGGCCAAAGTATTTGAGTTTCATCTTCAGGATCTGGCCTTCTAGAGAGCAGTCAGGGTTGACCTCCTCACATACATACATGTGTAAATTGCCATGGACCTTTTAATTATATAGCACATGGTATATAATAAATGTACTGCACATGGTAATATATGGCAAAATCAAGGACAAAAAGGGAAAATGGTAGGATAGGTTGCCCATCTCAGAGCTTCCCTTCTTACTTTTGATTCCAAGACTTGATGTCTTTGAGGCAAGATCAGACAAGTGGAACAGGTAGCAAAGAATGAGTGCTCCAACGCAGTTAGATGACTCAAGCATTGATTCAGCCATGGATGGAGACTAAAGGTTTAAGTGAAAGACTTCATGGAACAGAAAGAAAAGATGTAATGGTATATGAGAGAATATTCACAAAACTGTCACCTGTTGCTTTTTTTTTAACAAAAAGCAACCATTAAATGCACCAATCATAATAAAAATACCCAACTCCATATTTTTATAGCCTTTGTTAGGCCAACTCAAAGATCACCGAAAATGTGCACTTCCAAATCTCCAGATTCTTTTATCACTAGTTGTTAGAAAAGCAGGTGAGGGGGGACAGGAATGGGGGGGGGCTGATATTTCTTGTATTACGTTCCTTCACCCCCAAGCACCTGAAGCTCTCTGGCCAGGTTACAGCAGCATCTTGATGTTGAAATCGGGCCTTTGCCACCATCAGTTTTAAATGAAATTATGGAGGAGGTCTTCCCGATGTTCTTACTGGGTTCCACTAGGTTCTGTGTTGGTTTCACTGGACCTCCCCATGACTGCTGGGAAAAGGAAGAGACAAGCAATCACTGGTCCCCCATTTTGGAAAATATGGAATCCAGGTGATATTGAGAACAACCTCCCGTACTTGTGTAACCAGCTGCAGAGTTTTGGAATGCGAATCGTTCTTGTTTCCAGTTTGCACCCTTACGTCTTTTTGGCTTTCTCTAGGTGCCCCGTTCCTGGCTGTGTTGGGCTGGGACACATCAGTGGCAAATATGCCTCTCATCGTAGTGCCTCAGGGTGCCCCCTCGCAGCCCGGAGGCAGAAAGAAGGGTCACTCAACGGCTCGTCGTTTTCATGGAAGTCACTCAAGAATGAGGGTCCAACCTGTCCAACCCCAGGTTGTGATGGCTCAGGTCATGCGAATGGAAGCTTCCTCACACACAGAAGGTAAACAGCACACCTGGAGCAGAGGCATCTTGTGAGGAAGGTGGGAATTGAAATCCATGTTGCAAAGCCATCTGAATGTCTTCTCAGCAATCCTTAATTCACTAAGACTTCTCTCACGAGGGTATAGCTTTGCAGTCTAAGTGGATATATTTCAGAGTAGCATTTAACTTGGGTGAAAAAGCACTCAAGATTTCAAATTTGCATTTATCTATCAATATCTCAGAACCTAAATGTGATGGTGCAATTTTCAAAATGTAGAATCTGTTTAATATTTTAATTTAATTGCCTAGAGGTATTTCAGGTCAATGTTTACTTTTCAGTAACAAGGCTCATTTTTATAAAGGTTTCTGCAACTTCAGTTTTCAATCTCTCTTTTTAATCAATTAATTTTATCAATTTTATCAATTAATTTTTCTCAATCAATTTAATTAATTAATTTTAAGCCACCTAGAGATGCCATAGGCAAAATAGGCAGCATATAAATGTTTAAATAAATAAATAAATAAAAATAATCCCAAAATCACACTCAAGTGAACCCTCTTTCTTAGTATAGAATAGGGACGTGTTAATGGTTTAAAGGATATTGGAAATACGTTCATACTTCAGTAGTCTAAGCACAACTGTTATGAATTGGAAGAATGGGGTAGGTGAAGAAATATCATTGACTGATTTTGAATGTTGAAAATTCACTCCATTTCAGATCTAGCAAAACTTGATTCTGCTATGGGAACTTCATCCATGCCCAGTGTTATGGGCGATAATGGGAATAATTCTGCAGATTATGCATAGAAACTAGCTCACCAAGTCCCTCGAACATTGCAGTTGTTCCAAACAGTCAGTGTTTACTGAAATTTACTGGCAGTTGAGCGAGGCAAGAACAGAGAAAAGGGTAGACATGTCATGAGCGGAGCCAGCTGAAGCCAGGGGTCAGACTAGATGGCCCAGGAGAACCCTTCTGACTCGCTCTGTTTCTATGATTCTAAAAAACTGTAGCTGCATCAGACCAAAGGATCATCTTACTTCCAATAACGGACAGTCAGCAAGATGCCTCTTGAAAACTCACAGGGCGTGAAAGTTGGCAAGCTTGTGGACATCTCTCAAGAAGTCATATTTAGCCAGGGATGTCCAATTGCTGGCCCCAAGCCTGGATGAGCATTTTATTTATCCTAGGATGCACGTCCTATGTTCAGAGTATTTGTCTCCATATCCCACCTGTCCTTCTCTTTGCCCCTTCAGTTGTGGGTGAATACTTCACAAAGTGCTCAGACATAGTCCTGAAGAGAGTATACAGGACTTATCTGCTAGTGCAGCAAGTTTCTGGGTTAGAATTGTTTGGGTTTATGGTCCATAAAATATGTGCTTTGATTAAAATCTGCATTTTATAGTTGAATCTTTTATGGGGCAACCTGCAAGGGAATTTCTCTCATACATAACTGTCATTTTTCTTTCTTTCATTTTTTTCTAAACAATTCAAACACAAGCTTGTCCAAATGATGGCAAATTCCTGATGGATGTATAAAAAATACTGGGTATAAAGTCAGCTGAAGAAAATGCCACTGGGAAATGGTTTTACAAGGAACATAAAATAGCTGTTTTCTTTTTGTAATTTTCCCCCACTGAAAAGGGGGAAAATAATAAAAATCAGAATTAGAGAAATCTTTCTTCTCCCAGAGAAGAAAAACACATTTTTCACTTTGCCTTAAAAATGAATGTAAACATGTCTCATAACAAACTGCTTTCCTGAAAAGGTTTTCAAACTTTTCCAATATACCAATTTCTATTTTGGATCAGGAGTAGTCCTTTCAACAGATTTGAACTTTTCTCTCAAGAAATATTTCCCCAGATAATTCACATTTCCCCTAGCCTGTTTTGGTACCATTGTTTCTCACAGCCTCTGCTAATTCCTCAGCTTCTTCAGAATATTGGAACCTTTCTTATTCTGAGTCAGAGCATTCGTCCATCTTGCTCAGTTTTGTCTGCACTGAAGGGCAGAATCAATTTATTTGCTTTATAGTCTACCAGTTTGTCAAAATGGTACTCCAAATGCCACTGTCAGGTATCAAGACATCTTTGCAGGCCCCAGTTCCTTCTGATTTAGTTGCTGATTGCCACAAAGCTGCAAGAGATATTACAAATGAAAATCTTGTGAATTGAGATATTTCATCAGAGATGAGCTTCTCTGGCTTTACTTCAAATGTGTGCATTTAATGCCTCCGCTTCATATATTACCTGGTTTCAGTGCATCTTAGAGGTTCTAATAAAATTTACTTTTCTGTGTCTTTTAGCCTGTCAGGGTGTCCAAGAGCTACTTTTGCTGGGAAAAAGGGGAAAATCTCAGGGGATGAAATTCTCAACACTAAATTCAAGACCAGCGATGGTGAGAGAATAAGATTTATCACTTGGCTAGTTCTGTAACTGTGATGTTAAAAAAAAGCCTAACGTGACTTCATATGTAGTAGTGTGTATCCACGCCATTACCAGCCTCATTGAACCAGGATGATCCATACAAATTAAATTAACACTTCTATCCCATTTGCTAAACTTTGCTCCCCAGTGATCTTTATTGCACTCTGAAGTTCCCCTGCAGCACTGAAAACAGGCTTTGCTTCAGTTTGCATCCTCTCTAGCATCTGAAAAATTCCCTATTTTTCCAAAATAAATTATTGCACATGTTACTAGCATTGCTCCCCAACAGCTAGAATTGCACATTAAAGTTCCTGGAGAATGCTGAGAACAGTAGGACTTTTCCTCTCTAAATGTGCATAGGCTTGCCCCTTACATAAGTTCTAAAAATATTCCAAATATTCTGCCGGCTAGATCATGTTCAAGGTGCTAGAATGCTGTGATTCCCGAGCAGAAGACCAATTTAAATCCTTCCTCAGGTTGGCAAAAGAGTTTCGGCCCATGCAAGAGAAAGTCCCTGGTTCCCAGCTGTGGAGTCTAAACAACCTCGAGCTTTTGTGGATGAGATTCCACAGGGCTAGCACTGATGATAATGAGGTCATGCCATTGCATGCGATGACAGACTTGGGTTGTTACGAATGACCCGGCATGCTGGCCACCGCAGTCTGATCGCTCTTCTTCGGCACTCCTGCCCACAGGAGCGGCTAAACAACCAGGGCTCCAGCTCTGGCTTATCAGAGGAGAAACAAGCCAGAGTTCTGGGTTCAGACATCATGCTAAAAAAGGAGAAACCAAGCAGGAACTGCTGAACATGAGAAAAGCCATAATGGGTCAGACCAAAGGTCCAGCCACAGGGTGGTAAAGAAGCTGCCCACAGGGATGGGTGCCAGACCCCCTCTTGCCCAAGCTCCTCAGCAGCTGGTGTGTGCAGCCAGGCCGCCTCTGGTCAAGCAGGAAGCCCATGGCCAGCCAGGCTAGTAGCCACAGACCCCTCCTCCCTCGCGAATCTGCTCAATCCCTTTGGAAAGCCATCCCAATGGGCAGCTGCCACCACTTCCCAGAGCAGCAAATTCCATAACCTAACCATACACTGAGAGAAGAAGTCCTTCCTTTTGTCTGTCCTAAACCTCCCCCACTTAGCTCCATGGGATGACCCCGGGTTCAAGAGGGTGAAAAATGTCTCCTCCTCTTCCACTTTCTCCACACTGCCCAGTTTAAACACCTCTATCATGTCTCCCCCTTTGTCCAAAGCTAAGCAGTTCCAGCTGTTGTAGCTGCTCCTCACCCGGGAGTTGCTCCGGCCCCGATCACCTGTGTTGTCCTTCTCTGCCCTTGGTTGCCCTTGACCCATCGTGACCAGCAACCAGCTCATTCAGGAAAACCCAGGCAAACCAGTGAATGGACGTAGAACGCCCAGCACTCCCAAACTGTGCTGTATTATTTCAATGATACACTGGAGTCTAGCTTCATTCTTTCCTCAACCCACCCCACTATTGAATTCTCAGTACTAAATTCAAGACTGGCAATAGTAAGAGCATAGCCATATTTCCCTGTCCCAAATCTCCCACTGACATGTCAAAAACTCCCTTTAAAAGCAGACCACATAGTTTGATAGGTAGCTATTAAAGCCCTTTTTCTCCAGGAAAGGGGGCGGGATGCAGTTTTTTGAGTAGCTACAGTCTCAGGGGAAAGTATAAAAATGAGGACCGTCAAGGGAAAAAAAGAAAAGGATAAAATTCTTGGTGGGAAGGGGATGTAAATCTTATCGTCCCCTTTTTGCAGGCAAATATTATGTATGCCTTTGCTTTCCGGCGTCAGCTGCCAAACGAAGACAAAGAAAAGCCCGATTTGGACCCTCTTTGCAGCAAAAAGCTTGGCATATAGTGCACTTTGGACACTGACCAACCCAAGGGTTCAAATTTCCACATTCATGCAATGGCACACCCTCACTTTTGCACAAGCGCAACTATTTAAAAAATTGAACAAAAAAAGGAAAATAATATATGGTTGGGCCAACCACTGACTAATGCTGCATTCGTAGCCGTGAGAAGTTTCCACAAATCAGCCTAGAAAATAATTGCAGATCGTTAGAGATTAGGTATATTGTCCCTGAGCTGGTACTGAGCCCAGTCTGTGTTTTCTTTTTTTTTAAAAAAAATGTTTTATTGTTATTTTTCTACTGACTAACAAAACTAACAAAAAAACCCTAAAAAATCATCAATCGTCAAAATTGATTTCCCCGTACTTTTTCTTTTTATGATAATCCGTAAACATATTTAAATCTATGCATAGCCCTGTTTCTCTAGCCAAGCCCAGTCTGTGTTTTCCATGACTCTGATCTTCAGTGCATTGAACCACTACCTACTCTGTTTTATCCCTGGGTCAGTAAGTTCAGCCCTGATTTTTCTGCAATTCACAACCTTCTCCCAGTCTCCCATGTTCTAATAACAATAGATCCAACCATTAAACCTATCATCCTGGACAAATAGCTTGCCCAGTTTAATCTAAGCCTGTAATTAAGAACATTTTGTGGTGCGTGCGATTTAGCCACACTTCAAATGGATATTACTTTCACTTCTTTCTTTTTACATTTATGCCCTGCCTTTCTTCCATGTTGGAAATCAAGGTTCCCAGGTGATCTCCCATTCAGACATTGACTAAACTCAGATTTGCTACACTTGAGCAAAATTGCACCATGTTTTGGAACTATATTTATAAGCCAGAGCAGGTCATTGTCTGGCTGCTGTTTTTTTCACCCTCTCACCATTGTAGTTCTAGAGAATGATGAAGAAATTAAGCAGTTAAACAAAGAAATTAGTGAACTGAATGAATCCAACACTGAGATGGAAGCAGCCATGGTGAAGCTGCAATCACAGGTAGGTGCTTTCAAATCCCTGTGTAACCGTATGTTTAAATAAACAAGTAAATGCACTAGTGCTACATCGATAGGAGTCATTGCAATGGCCCCGTAAATCAAGAGCCTCAAATTCCTTTATCAGTTGGACAGAGTGTAGCCAGATCCTCTCAGCTTTGAACCCAACAAGATCATCTGCTTCTCAGAGTCTGTGCAACCAGGCCCTCCTTACTCTATCAAGGTGATAGAAATGTGGAGCATTAGGTAACCCTCTAAAGAGCTTGCAAAATCTTTTGGGATGCCCCCGGTGTTACTCAGAAGCAACAAAAATCTTCATAGCCATGTAAATTAGACAGAACGTCAAACACAAGTCTCGAACCTCAAGCACAAAACAAGCAAGACCATTTATCTGGGCCCACTCTTTGACTGTGAGCAAGATTTACGTGCTTCAGTTCAGTGGGAAAGGTGACAGATGGTATTTACCTGTGAAATGCATTGTACATCTACTTTGCTCTGTGGCTGTCTCAGAACTTTCAGATATATTGTTGGCCTGAACTTCATTCTTCTGATAACTTTATCATCTCCCTGTTTTGACATTTCAGTCTGAACAAACTTTTAGTAGCTAGATCTTGTTCAGATGTTTTTCTTTTCTTTACTCCTTCCGTAAACACTGGCTTGCTTTCTCTGTAAGTGCCTTGGGTAAGAATTCTAGCATTGTTCTCTTCTTTGGGGAAAAATATCAGGTGAGAAAACTTTAAGGCTGGGTGGCCTTAAGAATGACACCCTGCAATGTTTCTGCATATTATGGCTTCAAATTACATCGTAATTCATAATTGCTGGACGATGCTTCAAACATAGAAATGCACTAGAATTTGTAAAGCTCAGAGCAGTCCTAAGCCATGCCTATCACTCCAGATTTGGGAGTTGATCACATGACCTGTTATGTCACGTGATTAAAAAGCCAACTGAACCTGGGTACAACCATTATCCAAGGCCAAATAGAAAGCCTGCCATTGGCATTCAATATGGAGCAATAGAAGCTATCTTGCATTCCTCACAAGAGGTAAAAGGTGGATATAAATGCAATGTAATAATAACAACATTAAATAGATCTTGTTACATTCCTCCTCTTTGTTTTCACTGTGCAGATCTCAAGCATGGAGAAAAACCTCAAGAACATTGAGGAAGAGAACAAGATGATAGAGGAGCAGAATGAGGCCCTCTTCCTTGAGCTCTCAGGGCTGAGCCAGACTCTTATCCAAAGTCTTGCCAATATCCGCCTTCCACACATGGTGAGGAACTCTCTTGCGAATACAACTTCTGCCTGTGTGACAAAACACTGGTTTCATGAGTGGCTTTGCGTTTAACTAAGAAGTGAGAAAGAGGTTCCAAGTCATCCGTTCTTTCCCTCTTTCACAGAATTCTGTAGAGAAAAGGCACCATTATAAGTGACACTGCTTAGAATGTTAAGCAGTGTAAATGCTTGAAGGTAAGGTTATGCGAAACAGAGCCTTAGCTTTACTGGAAGGAAGTGCTCTGTCCTTACTGATGATATTCACTGCTGAATGTTTCTTAGACACATTAAGGTATAATCATGCTTAAAGTGGATCCACTGGATCAGTGGGATGTGATGTCTAGCTTGTTTCACTGATTTTATAGGCCTTCCTATAAAACTAGGGACTGCAGGTGGCACAGTGGTTTAAACCGCTGAGCTGCTGGGCTGGTTGATCGAAAGGTCACCGGTTCGAATCTACACAAGGGGGTGAGTTCCCGTTGCTCCGTCCCAGCTCCTGCCAACCTTGCAGTTCGAAAGCTTGCAAATGCAAGTAGATGAAAAGGTACCACTTCGGTGGGCAGGTAACAGCGTTCCGTGCACCTCAGTGTTTAGTCATGCCGGCCACATGGCCACGGAGACTGTCTGTGGACAAACGCTGGCTCCCTTGGCCAGGAAACGGAGATGAGCACCGCCCCCTGGAGTCAGGCATGACTGGGCTTAATGTCAAGGGGAAACCTTTACCTTTAAGCATGACTAAATCTGGACCAGCCTTATATTTTGAAAAATTATGTGTGAATTCCTTAAGTACATCTCATAGCTGTTTGTATCCAGATGCATGCTAGTATATGAGAAGTATTATCCAAGCTAGAGGAAGGGTGCTTCCAGGTGAGACATTTAAAAAACAACCACCATGCCTCCTTGCCAAATTTGCAGGAGCTCTGATGATGCCTTAAACCAGGGGTCCTCAAACTTTTTAAACAGGGGGCCACTTCACTGTCCCTCAGACTGTTGAGGGGCCGGACTATAGTTTGAAAAAAATATGAATGAATTCCTATGCACACTGCACATATCTTATTTGTAGTGCAAAAAACCAGGAAAAAACAATACAATGTTTAAAATGAAGAACAATTCTAATCAACATAAACTTATTAGTATTTCAATGGGAAGTATGGGCCTGCTTTTGGCTAATGAGATGATCAATGTCTGGTTCCATATTAGTTCTTCTCTTCTGTATTCAGAGCCAACACATGCACGCAACAGGGAGACGAGCCGGCGCATGCGCAATTCACACTGGCAAGACGCTAGCAGAGAGAGCCGGCACATGCGCAGCTGGAGGGAGCTGTCACAATTTGGCGCGTGTGCCAGCTCTCGGCTAGTCTCCAAAACTGAAAGAGTTTCAGAGTACGCCTGCACCGCCTCAGAGCTTTCGGACTCGTTTGGAGATAGTTTTCTTTGAACGAGTCCGAAAGCTCTGTGGTGGGCTGCATCTGACCCGTGGGCTGTAGGTTGAGGACCCCTGCCTTAAACCAATTGCAATCTTACTGTGTTTTCCTATCACGTTTTTGTCCTTTTCCTTACTATAGGAAAGCTGTTGAGGAGGGAAAGAGCAGAGTAGCAGCACAATACCTTTGCAGGTGTGGATAGGAAAATGTGCATTTGGGGCACGATTGCAGGCGCTGTCCCCAGGGAAGGCCGATGGAAAGTTGGAGATAACCTTCATTTCTCTATTGCTTGCTGTGCATTTCCAGTTTCGGAGCCGTCTCATGTCCTATATTGCCAGCCTGCTCTTTTGGCCGTAATTAATTGCTTCCTGAAATGAGATTTCCTCAACCCACACACTACAATTAGCTGTTCAGTTAGTACATTACTCTGAAAAACAGTAGTGCTTACTTCTGAGCATAGGAATGGTATATTTCAGCTTTAATCCTGTAAGACTGCAATCCCGTGGCCATGTGCTGCAGGCACTTTTTAAATTATGTATTTAAAAATCATAACTGTGCTATGATAGAACAGACCAAAAAAGCAAGCGGCATAAAGCAAACTGGCAAGCTTTCTCGCCCAGTTGTGAAACTGACTAGGTCAGAATGGTTGAGTAGATTAGATTTAATTTTGCAATCGCCAAATCTATGGCACCTTTAGCTGGATCTATAATCAGGTTAACTAGAAATAAGCTCATCTACAATCATTTTGCCCTGCTGTACAGACACTCATTTTTGAAAAAATATCCTTATTTATTTTGTAATTGCTCTGCTTCAAATACTATAAAAACACACACTCGCATGCACAGAGAGAGAGAGATGCTATGGGAGAATGCAAAACATTTTGAAATGAAACCACCCATCGAAACGTCAAGAGAACGTGCAGAAGCAACCAGTGGGTGATAGGGACAGAAAAGGGGTCAATATTATCCACACAGTTATATTATAATTGACCCTATAGGCAGTACATAGCGAGATACATACAGCCAAAAGATCTCCCCCACAGTCAGTGGGGGCTATAGCTCAACGGCAGAAGACCCCAGCCTCAGTTCCTGGCATCTCCATTTGGGGCTGGAAGAAAATCCTTCCCAAAACCATGGAGAGTCATTGCTGCCAGTCAGAATCAGCAACACCCAGCGAGGAGGACAAGGATCAGACTCAGCAATGGTGGCACCCATGTTTCTCATTTCAATTCTGCTGGTACCTTGCAGAAGAGCAATTATCAAGAGCAGACTTTTTTCTTTTCTCCAATCCTTTAAATGGAGCCTCCTTCCCATTTCTGTTCACTACCAAAAACACCTTTTATGATGACCCTTTCTAGAGAATGGTGGGCATGTCGTGGGCAGAGCCGGCTGGAGCCGGGGGTCAGACTAGATGGCCCAGGAGGCCCCTTCTGTCTCATTCTGTTTCTATGTTTCTAATGCTGCTTAGGACGGCCTTCACAGTCCCTTCTTACTCAATTGAATATGAAGTTTTTTGTAACCCCCCCCACCACCACCGACTCCAAGGATGCTTTCACTTTGACAAGGGATTGAAACATAGAAACATAGAAGCAGAGCGAGTCAGAAGGGGTCTCCCGGGCCATCTAGTCTGACCCCCGGCTCCAGCCGGCTCCACTCACGACATGCCCACCATGTGCATGTCCAGCCTATCCTTGAACAGCCTCACCACTGGGGCTGCAACCACCTCCCATGGAGGCCCAATTCATACTCCTGGGGTCCTAACCATTAGGAAATACTTCCTGGCATCCAAATTGAACCTTGGTTCCAATACACTATTGAAATGCATATTGGGACATTTCAATAACTAAGATAAAGAATTCTAGCTTAATTTTAGCATATTATAGGGACTAGAGTGATTCTCCAGTCTGCATCTGTTTACTTTTGTCTGTTTAAGCTAAAGGGGGGATCTAAAAAGTGTTCAGATAAAACCGAAATTCCACAGTTTAACCCAAATGTCAGGGACAAACAACCAGCACAGTTTCTGTGTTTCTGAAGGCTCTCTTGGCACGCCTTCTTTGTATTATTTCACTTGGTGTGCAGGCAGGAAGGCTTGGCACACAGCGAGCAGCCTCAAGACTAAGGATGGCGCTGAGCCATCCCACACGTAGCGCTAAGCCATCCCACACGGCGTCTCGCCTTGTGTCCGGGTTCAGGCAGGCATGTGGCCTCGAAACGTGGCGTTTCCGTGCTTCTCCATCTTCTCTGCAAACGGCAGCCCTCTTGGCTCAGAATCAATCCCAGGTTGCTTCTCCTTGGCATGTCCTCAGTCTGCTCTTCCTCTGTGGTTGGGTTTGGTTTATCTAGAGGAACACTCCTGCTCTGCGGGCGTCCTTCCTGCTGCTGCTCTGCTCTGTGCCAACATACAGTCGCAGCCATCCACAAACCTGCCTCTTCCTCCTCCTCACTGCCCATGTGGCCACGCTCCCCCCACGCGCAGGACTTGCGCATTCTGCCAAGGGCTGCTCCCCCTCCACCACCAGAGGCACGGAGGGCAGCAGTGCACAAGCTCCTCATGTCCGTGGCAGAAATGTGGAAACCATGTGGGAACACAGAAACTGGGTTCAGACAAGCCATGGTGAAGCGCGGAAACCTTGCAAGCCGTTGTTTCTCTGTGTGGTTCCGTGGAGGCCAAAGGTGCCACACTTCGCCATGGATGCTGGGTTCAGACAAGCCATGGTGAAGCGCGGAAACCTTGCAAGCCGTTGTTTCTCTGTGTGGTTCCGTGGAGGCCAAAGGTGCCACACTTCGCCATGGATGCTGGGTTCAGACAAGCCATGCCCGCACTGTTTCCACCGTGTGAACTCACCCTTAGGCAAAGGGTTCAGCCAGCCTTGAGGAACAGGTCATTGTGTCTGTACTGGCATGGTATTTGGGAAACATCTGCTATTTTTCATTGTCTGGAAAAACCCTTCAGGGTAGGAAAGGATGCACCATGCAGCTGGCTACTGCAAGAATTCTGTTTTGGAATTTTATTTGAAGGCAGGAATTAGCCTTGGTTTACTGAGAACATATAAGAGAGCAAAACAACATCAGCAAAGCTATTGCGGTGAAATTCAGCTACTGCTACACAGCCAATGGAAGGTTTCCCATCAGAGGAACAGTGGGGGGCAACTCTCTTTTCATTTCTGCTGCATTCCCCCCAATCTTCTCCAGAGGGTTGGGACACCCTCCAGAGCAGGTCTGGAAGGCTATAGGAGGGAGGGGAGGAAAGCTCCATTATATGAACAGAAGTCCAGCTGCACAAAATTGGATGGAACCTTTATTACTTAGATACAGATTACATGCATGTCTCCAGCAAAGGAGAGAGAAGCTGGTCCAGCCTATAATGTGAAACATGGCTCTACTCTCACCTGACTCCAGGATTAGAGTCTTTTCCCTCTGCATTCCACTTCCATTTAGGATTCATGGTTGATTGTTGTTGCTTTTTGTCTTGTTTTTGTGGACCTAGGAGCCAATCAGTGAGCAGAACTTTGATGCATATGTCAACACTCTTACTGACATGTACACGAACCAGGAGTGCTATCAGAATCCTGAGAACAAGGACCTACTGGAAAGCATCAAACAGGCCATTAAAGGAATTCAGGTCTAATTACAGTGGGACAAAAAATAAAGAAAAAAACACTGAAAAGAATTACAGTAACTAGAAGAATATAGAGGACCTTCACTCTGCATATTCAGGTTTACAAGTTATGAAACTTGTTGAATGGATGGATGGATGAATGAATGCATAAAAGGACCAAAACTTAACCAAGAGGCCATTCACAAAAAGCAAAATTAACCCCAATGTTTTTTTTAACTCAATGGCACCCTTTGGCAAACAGTGGGAGTTTTGTTTTGTTAAATGTTCACCCCATGGGGGAGATTCAAAGATGGGCTTGGAAGCAGATGGAGATCAAAGATCTTCACAGGCTGCTAGGCATAACAAAGAAGGCTCCATAATAGAGTTAGTCCAAGGTTTAGAGCATTAAAGAACAGGGCTTTTGTTTATACCACTAACAGGCTCCACAAGCATGTGCTGCCTAGGTTCATGTCCCCAGATCACACGTGAATTATGTGATATGTATTGTGGATGAGAAGCTGGAGCTGCAGGCCACACATCCATCTGAATCTGGATCTGAATCGGGATTCCTACCCCACCAAGGAGTCCGATGCCTGCTGGACACGAGAACTTTTTAAAGTATTATAGAGTAGCATTATTTTTTATTTTCCAAAAGAGCAGCTCTGGATCTCCAGTGGAAAGCGCAATGGAAAAAATACAAAAGGTTCTCAGGGAAGCTTTTTTGGAGTTTGCAACTACAGTATTCCTTTGTCCGTCTTTTAAAAAAAATGATAATAGCTATTAATGAACAGACCAATATTGGAACATTTCATATGGAAGAATTCTAAGTGTGTCATGGTCCAGTGTACATGAGTTTTGGAAAGTCCTTTTGCTGACAGTTCTGGTTCTGTTCGTCGTCGTGGTCATCGTGGAGTGGCTGGGAAGCCCTGCAGACATCCATGCCAGAGATGTGTAAGGCACGATTAGGTTCAAAAGGGAGTCTACGAAGCGTATTTACTCTTCAATATGGACTTTGGCTGATACTTTCATGGCAATGGGTCTCAGCGTTGTTTTCTTCATATTTTATAAGTTTAACAAAACAGAGTGATCATCGTTCTGCAAAAGGAACAGTTGGGTATAGATCTTCCAAAGAACCGCTTTGTTTTGTTGTGTTCGTTGGTTTTCCCTTCAGTATATGTAATCCACTGTGCACTTAAGGAACTAGTGAAGTGAATGTCTCTGGTAAACAAACTGGTTCAGCGCCTCTTTTGCCCACATGCGTATTGCTGGTTTTGTAAAAGGAGGAAGAGTGGCAGGGAAGACACGCGTGCAGTCATCCATTTTGTGCTGTTGAGCTTCCTTTACAGCTCTCCACTGAAGGCCAAGTCCTGGGCACTTAGGCCAGGCTGTCGCAGAATGTAGCGCCGAGTCCCACGGCTGTCCGTGTCGCTCTGCTTGGCTAAACGACAACTGACACCTTGCTTACAGGCCCAATCTAAACAGCATGAAAATACATCTTTCCAGAAGGAGGTCCCATCGTCCACAGCCACTGCTCATGCCTGCTGATGCAGGTCCTCCTCACACTTTGTGAACTGTGGTCTTAGCATATCCAAAAGCCAGAAGCTGTATTACATGAATTCAACAGGATAAAAGTATTAACCGTTCTATAAGATTATGTATGGTGCTGAAACCTCCCTTCTCTTGGCAATAATTTGGTTTTCAAAATTAGACCCCCTGATCACTTCTAAGGTCACACTCCTGAGAGTTGCCTGGGAGGAAGGTCCATTGAACTCAATGGGACTTCCTTCCAAGATAACACGCATAGGATTGTGCCATCAATGCATTTTCTAGCCAGCTAGGATGGCTTGGGACAGATTTTTCGCAGAAAACACAAAATAGAATCCTGGATCCATTGCAGTGGGTGACCCAGCTTGTTGATCTGGTGGAGGCAAGGGCTGGTATCAGGAAAGCCCCTGCGTGCATCTAAGACACTTTTGCATACCCGTGTGTCTGTGTGCCAATTTTTCCTTCCTGGATGCTACATCACATCAACATCCAGGGTGCCCCCAGTCTTCAGGAGTGGCTTTTGAAGGAACACATGAAGTTATGATGGGCAAGGGAAGCTGACAGACCTTGCTCTGCTTATGAAATCCTGCGTATGCAGCCTAGAGTCTACCTGAAGTTAGGAAAATGCGGTTTCTGGGAACATTTTCATACGTGAGGCTTTTTCGTGAGCTTTTGAGCCTCTCTCCCTCTATTTATGTGAATACCTGATCATTTTTCAGCAGAAGCAAAGGTGGAAGAGAGACACTTCTAATGCAAATGCTTACTCTGCCTAATATGGATTTATATTCATGTTACAAACCTGATGAAAACATGAACCACCTTAAGCCTCGGTGTGAAAATGCCTTAAAAGCCTAACCCTGCGTACACTTAGGCTATAATCTAAAACTTTTTGAAGTCAATGGGAAGGCTCCAACAAGAAACATTCCATGGAGCAGGTGAAGAAAAAAACCACAACACATGGGCAACTTTACTCAAATGCATAGCCTTGTTGTAGACCATGGAGCTACTCATCTGAGTAAATTGACTTGTGTAAATTGACTTGTGGCGATTACAACATTGGGCTCTTTGACTTGGCTTATCTATACCTGCGGAAAGTGCAAACACAAAGCAAAATAAAGAAAAAAGATTGATATGAAATATTAAAAACATAATGCTTTTGATATGTAAATAGAGTCCAATTTGGTGGTGATTGCAGCTCATTTAGTATTTAAGAGTAGAGAAATTGCACTTCCTCTAAAGAAAAAGAAGGGTTGGGGGAAAAGTAGTTAGCTGAATTATACTGTAAATTATTTAGAAGTGCACATACTTTGGATGGTAGAACTGCGATGAAAGTACACTCACTGTGTTTTGTTCATACATAAAATCTGTTCCCCGGGACCAAGCAATGCGGAAAAGCCTCTTCTACCAGTTTGCAGAAGAGATCAGGTATGCCCCACACGGATTGACTGGCACCTGTGACATCAGAAATCCAAATTCACAGAGCAGTTTTTCCACTGTTCAAAAATGGTGTGTGTTCCCCCGCCACCTGCTTAAAGCACTGCTCAAGAGTTGAATTTGCTAAAGTCGCAAGTGGTGCTTTAAAAAGTTTTTTAAGTGGGGCAGCTTACCTACAGCATCGGAGACTGAAGGTGGCCAACTCACCTAGCTAATCATTAGGTCTGTCAAAAGTATTAGGAAGCTGGAATCATTGTGCAGGAGGGAAAAAACACAGTGAGTTCTCTTTCTGTATGCACTCTAATTTTGGGCAAATGTATGTAATTTATATTTGCAACACCTTATGTTTAATTTTTTTGGCTATTTATTGAATCTGTTTTATTTATTAAATTTTTACTTCTTTTGAAGCTGGACATCCACACCATGAGATAGGAAAGGAGACAAAAAATCCCCAAAAGAAATACAACTTTTTGATCAATAAAACAATATTCCCTCTAAGAAAGAAAGAAAAAAGTCTAACTTTTGCGTGTAATTTTGATGCAACCAAGTTATTTTTTATATATTTTTGTTATTTATTCTTTTACCAATGGGAATTTTTTTAAAGATATTTTATAACTGAAGTGCTTTTTTAAAAAAAAAAGGTTTTTGTTTGATTTTATTTTGGGTGGGGACAAAATGCAGAAAGCGAGAAAGAGAGAGAGAGAGATTCCTTTTTGTTTCTTCGTTTGTTTTTTCTTTTGTCTTCTCGGCGTTCCTATTGTTTCAGGCACTGATAATGGTAATTAAAAATTAAAACCTGTAATTTATTATTTATTTAATATTTAAATTAAACATTAAAATTGATCTGTGCTCTTGTTGTATATTTATTTTGTCATGTTTGTGTGTCAGTTATGTGATGACTGAGTAATTGTTTATGTGAAGGAATACTGTTCATATTTAAATAATAAAGAAACACGTTGGAAAAAATGGTTCCAGAGAATTCATGTTCTTCTGTGAGAAAAAGAAATTGAATTAGTACTATGAGTTTCTCTCCTCAGAAAATATATTCCACTGAAGGGGCAATCCTAAATCTATTTAGAAAAAGAAAAAAAGCCCAGCTTGCGGGTTGGAGACTTTTTTCCTAAATGTGCATAGCATTGTCCCCTTGAAGGATTTCACTGCCCGCCTCTCCCCCAGTTTGTGATAATCAGTCACGCAGCTTATGCAGCCAAAAAAGAACCATTTACACATATGAGCGAAGTTATCAGCAAGTTGGGGAGAGGCTTAACATTTACAGAAGTATAAAAAATCTTTAGGGACAATCTCAAAACACTCCAATAGGACAGATTCTGTTCATTGAGTGCAGAATACTGACTTTTGGGAGAATAACATGGAAAACCACCTGAGGTTGCATATCCCACTTACCTGGTCCTGTTTAATGCAGATTATCATCCCTGTTTCTGGTCTCTTGCCTGGGAAATCATTTCCTTTGGGAAGGGATCCTTGTTATATTTGTGAAAGTGTAAATTGACCGAGCCATCCTCCTTTCTCTACTGGCTTTATCTTTGAGCGGGTGGCAAATTAGAAAGATGTAGCCACCATGGGTTCCTTGCAGGAAAAAAGCAGCATATAAATATAAAAAATAGCTGTGCCTTGCCTTCAATGCACACGCATGTAAACGCATGATGTTACAGTGCACTGGGTATACATTCTGCTGCTTCACATATGGGGCAGAGTCATGTGAAGCTGCTTTTAATCGATTGTAGAACAATAATGCTTCTCAGAAGTATCTTCAACCTCAAGAACAAAGACCTCTCTTAGCTGTTAATGGCTTCTAAAACTCGGCAGGACAGGCTATTGCAAAACAAATATCTTTGCAGAAATAAAATACATCATGAGCAGACAAACTAAAACCATCAGCAATGAATACTGGAGAGTGTTGGCATGAAAAATTACTGGCAAACGGGAGGGTAAGAAGCTTAATTAAATTACTTTGCAAACAGCACTTTGTTCTCAGTTGTAGATGCAACCCCATTTCTAAAGATTTAGCATGTTCAGAAGCTGGATCACAC